GGCCGTAAACTCGCTCTCGAGAATTGCTCAACCCAGCAGCTAAAAACCAAAAAATACAATGAGAAACCGCGGAACGTGTTTAAAATGCCACTCGATCTGATACGATGGCTATATAGCATATAGCATACGGCATATGTATACCCATATACCATCCCTTTTAGCCCACGCCATCCGAACATCCGTATATCGTTAAGATGACCGGATGATGATGATGATCGACTTCGGCTTTCAATGCGGTTCAATGCTGACTGTCTGTTTTTCTCACTGCGATTGCGATTGTTATTGTTAATTATTTACTGCGATTGTGATTGGAGTCTGAGGCGAGGTAGTTGAACAAATTATCAAGAGACGCCCACCAGGGGCGGAAACGGGTTTATTAATGAGCATATAGAAAATCTGGCCGACTGCCAATTTCGATTGAATAACAATTGGCTGTGAGCTTGAGTTTTGACATTAACTCTAGGCGTTAATCCCTTAAGAAGGTTAACTCATAAGCTGCACGAAATCAAGTGCTAAATAAGCATATTTATCAATCTTATCAATTTGTATAGGGTAAACAGTTTTAAATGTTTCTTTTTGTTTGTATTTAACAACATCAAGACACCTTATATTCAATTCTTCATTTCTGTTTTCTTTTCAAGTACTTCAAACTTTAAATTTTGTATATAGCGTATAAATAAAAAATCATTCATCACTCAAAATGATTCAACTGACATTATTATATTGGTTTGCTCAATTTGAAATTAATGGATTTTATGATTTACAAAAATATAGTACATCTTAATAATTTGTGTGTTTTCCTTATTAATTTACAGTCCTTTGCCGCCAAGCATTCGGATGCAGAGTCCCTTTTGCACAACATGAACGTGAAGTACTATTACTACACGAGGACACGAGGTCTCTTCCGGATTTGCTATCCCAAGGAGCGGCCGCCGGCTTCAGCGGGTGAGTAATGGACTTAGTAAACTATTTGATATAGGATATAACAATTTATGGTCTCCCCGATTTGCGTAGTGCCCACCTATCTGTCGCCAATCGAGACGCACTGCTCGAACATCGACTACTTCCCGCAGGCGGAGGACGAGAAGATCGCCAACGAGGACGCCACCTCGCGCCTCCATTTGGCCCGATCCTGCATTGCCCTGTTCATCATCAGCTTCGTGACCATCTTCTGTGCCTTCTGGACCGGCCTCTCCGGCTGTTGGAAGCGCTCCTCGGGCGCCATCACGGCCACCTCGATCCTGCTGCTAGTCACCTGCCTCCTGGCCGCCGGCGCCATGGGTCTCTGGCACACCGTCGAGTTCTTCGAGAAGGAGAAGGTCGTCGGCGAGGACTACTTCCAGCAGTGGAACACGGTATGTATCCATATATTGATATTCCTGAGGATCCTTTAGGATCTCAATTTTAGGTTTAAAAATGAGTTGTTTAAAAAATTTAAATTTGTATGTTGTTCTTCAAGTACATATAATTTTATTATTTATTTATTATTTCATTTCTTTTGACTTAAAATTACTTCAGAAGCAATGGCCTAGAACTATCCCTTTAAAAAACATGTAATATTTCAAAATGTATTTAGTCTTTTAATCCTTATTTAAAAATCAGTTTTTACAGAAAAATCAATTTAAATTATATTTTTAAAAAGTTTTAAGTTCTGATTGAAAATAGCATGTTAACATTAACTTTTATTTCTTATTTTCCAATAATAGTGCACCAATAATAATAACATATAGTTTTAATTTAAGAGGCGTCTAAAAAAAATAAGGCAGCTAGTTATATATATATTAAAAAGCCTATGATTTGTATTATAATTTTGTGACTGAAATTTTAATTTTGATACTTTCGAAACGATAGATTTTTTATCCTGAGCATTTTCTATTGCTTAAAATGACTTCAGCAACATAAGCCAAGAAACGTCCCTTTAAATATGTAACAATCAGAAATGTATTTATTATTATTACGAAGGGATTCACAACCAATAGTTTAGAATTGTAGCAATAGTTTTGCTTACATGACAATTTTTGTTCGGAGGAATACAATTTTCGTATTTTGACCTTTTCAAAACAAATGCTAATTTGTGTTTTACTTACTTGAATGTTTTGTTTCAGGTCCTGCGCGACAACACGAAGATTGCCTACGACTGGTCGTACATCGTGGCCTGGGCAGGAATCGGAACCTGTCTCCTGGCGGCCATCCTCTTGTCGGGAGCGGCTGTTTGTCTGCGCAACGAGCGGGAAAAGGAGGAGCAGCTGAACCTGCAGTACCTGATGCCAGGTGGGATTGGAAGCAGCAGTTTTGCGATCATACAATGTTACTAATTACAACCCATTTCCATATCCATTTGCAGTCTACTCGCAGAAGCAGCCACCCTATCCGCCGTACGCCAACTATGCCCAGCCGCAGATTTACCCAGGACCCTATTATCATGGCTCGCAGTACGGCCCCTATAACTACTAGGGACTGCTATCAGATACAAAGCCAGAGCAATCAGCAATGGAAGCCGAGGAAAACCAGCTTGAATCGAATAGAAAAACCCTCTGCGAGCAATATCAGCATAGAAATCACAAATGACCAGGAGGGAAATGACCTGGTTCTCCAACAACCCCTCCCCAGTAATCAAGAAACTTGGCGATCAAATAGAGCAACCGCTAACGAAATCTTAAATTGCACTCTGACAATGACAATAATATAAAGCATTAATTTTTTTTTTACGAGAATTTAGCTTGTAGTCTATATAGAGCTATAAAAATATGCTTGTATGTATAACTGATAGTGGGACTTGAGTCAAAGTTGCGTCCAAGTTTTTGGTGCGCAAATTAGTTTCGGGTATTTTTGCGAAACAAATATCTTAGAATGAGTATATGGTTGGATATATATGTTGACCACGGCGAGATGGCGAATAAAAGACGGAACAATAAAGAGTTAATTTATTGTAGCACGTAACGTACATGTAGCGTATCTAAAATAATAATAATAAACAAAATATGTATGTATCTAAGCTAAAGTTTCATTGTACAATGTATATGAATGTAATAATGCGCGACAAGCTTCAAATTGTCTTCCAAGTATAGTGCATATTGTATGTAGAGCTGTACGTTTAATAAATAAAAGTTTCTTACGTTAAAATGTTATGTTTTCTCTATTTGGCGGGTATGGGGCATTTCCTTAAAATTTTTGGCCGACGATTGGGTTTTTTTTTATTGTGAGCATGTTTTAATAGCCATGAGAAAGTATAAAGCTTTTTAATCAGAGAAAAATATAATTGTTTTCAAGATTTGCTATTAATCGTTTGACATGAAGAACATGTTTTATTGATTCTATCTCCAGAAATAACATTGTGTAAAAAGTTTAAGAAAAATATATTTTCCTCACAGTTTTTGATATTTCTTGTGATGATAACAAACAACTTAACTATTTTATATTCTGACGGCCTTATGACTATTAAGACAATTTTAGATCAAATTAATTTACGTTATTTTCTAGAAGTCTTACTTTTGTTGTTGTGATTAAAATGTAAAGTGTATTGACTTTATTTCTAAAATTATTGTTTGGTGGCTTCCCAATAATAACAATAATAATAATAATAAGTAATTGATTTAGTTTATGATTTAAATTTTTGGCGGCATACTTGTAGTGTGCCCATACGTTGTTATATAATAATACCAAACTAATCATAATACTACGTCAAAAGTAGTACCATATTTTTAGGAATTCCACTGAATATGGACAACCGATAACGATAACCGATAGATATATATGTACATGTCAATTTTAATAAACAAATCCGCACGAATAACAACAAAATGAGCGGCGAAAAGGCCGAGAAGGCCAAGATCAGTGCCCAAATCAAGCATGTGCCCAAGGACGCCCAGGTGATCATGTCGATTTTGAAGGAGCTGAACATCCAGGAGTACGAGCCACGCGTGGTCAACCAGATGCTCGAGTTCACCTTCCGTAAGAGTCGCAGAATTGGATGAATTCCGTTGAATATACTTAATAATGGTGTATGCATTTCAGGCTACGTCACTTGCATCCTGGACGACGCGAAGGTGTATGCCAACCATGCACGCAAAAAGACCATCGACATGGACGACGTGCGCCTGGCCACCGAGATGACGCTGGACAAGAGCTTCACCGGGCCTCCGGCGCGTCATGTTCTGGCCAAGGTGGCCGACGTGCGCAACGGCATGCCCCTGCCGCCCATCAAGCCGCACTGCGGTCTCCGGCTGCCGCCCGACCGCTACTGCCTCACCGGCGTCAACTACAAGCTGCGGGCCACCAACCAGCCCAAAAAGATGACCAAGTCGGCGGTGGAGGGACGGCCGCTGAAGACCGTCGTCAAGCCTGTGTCCAGTGCCAATGGGCCGAAGCGGGCCCACTCCGTGGTGGCCAAGCAACAGGTGGTGACCATTCCCAAGCCCGTCATCAAGTTCACCACCACCACGACCACGAAAACGGTGACCAACTCCGGGGGATCAGGCGGCGGTGGAACTGGTATGGATGTCAAGAGCGAGCCCAGTGGAACCGGAGGAGATCTCAAGATGGACGTGGACAGTGATGCAGCGGCCGTGGGCAGCATCGCCAGTGGATCTGGATCGGGATCTGGAAATGCCGGAGGGGCAGGCGGATCTGGATCCTCCGGCGTTGGAATGGCCGTCAAGCGGGAGCGCGAGGAGGAGGAGTTTGAGTTTGTAGCCAACTAGCGGAGCGAACAGATTAACCTTAAATATATTTTCAATACCATACCCAAAAGCATTAGAATTTGATTGGGTATTTCTGGGGGGTAATAATTGTTTTTATTTCCGAAATTCGAACTAATATGCATGTTCCATTCTAAAATTTGCATTTGGAAGCCTAAGTATAAATGCTTAGATAGTCCAAAGAAAGTTATACGTTTTATAGAAAACGCAGGATGAACCTCGACACAAAAACAGAAAAGCAGATGATGTTCGTTCTCAAAAAAAATGAATAAGAATTATATATATGAATGCAATTATCAGCTGTTTAAATTAAATATAAAATATATTTTAAACTTCAGACGCTAACAAAAGTATAAAGAATATTTTGAGAGTATAATCATTTTAGAGCCAAAATGATGCAGCAGCCGAGGTCCATGATCTGCAGGTACTCGGAACCGCCATCCTGCAGCCGGAAGCAGCATTCCTAAGGGATACAAGACAGACCAGTTAGGAAGTATAAACAGAATAGGGTTACATAGCTACAACGTACACCGAGCTTATCGCAGATCTTGGCCTTTTGCGGATCATTCAGCCCCGGATGGTGGACAATGTACTCGACAAACTGCTCCATCATCTGGCCAACGCTGTAGGCGGAGAAGCCGATCTCCCGCACAAACTGCTCCAGGCGCTCGTAGTTCCCCGAGCGACACACCTCGAGGTAGTCGTCCAGATAGTAATCCGGTATAACGCCCGACATCTCGAACAGATCGGCCGTGTTGATGACATGTTCGGGGCCCTTCAAGCGGTAGCACGACTGCAGGGTGGTAATGGCCCGGCGCAGATCTCCGCCAGAAATCTTAACAATGGACTTATAGGCATCCTCCTCGATCTTGACGCCCTCCATCTCGCAAATGTGCTGCAGACGGGCAATCACCTTGTCGTCGCCCAGGGCCTTGAAGCGGAACTTGGAGCAGCGCGAAGTAATGGGCACAATGATCCTGGAGACATAGTTGCAGATCAGGCAGAAGCGGGTGCTACGGCTCTCCTTTTCCATGGTGCGACGCAGTGCGGACTGAGCGGCATGGGTCATCGAGTCGGCCTCGTCCAGAATGATGATCTTGAAGGGCGGACACGGTCTGCCGTCCGGACGCACACTGCTGGCCGAGAGCTGCGAGAAGTTCTTGATTTTGGTGCGCACCACATTGATGCCCCGCTCGTCGGAGGCGTTCAGCTCCAGGATGCGATCCTTGAACATGTCCCCAAAGATCTGCCGGCCGGCCGCCAAGATTGTACTGGTTTTGCCGGTGCCGGGAGGTCCGTAGAGCAGCATATTGGGCAGATCCCCGCCCTCGACGCACTTGCGCAGCACGGCCACCACCTCGGACTGCTCCACCACATCGTCCACGTTGCGCGGGCGGCTAAATGATTCAGTTATGAAGGATTTTAGCCACTTTATTCAGCATGTGCTTCGCTTTTGAAGTGCCGGCAACTCACTATTTCTCCACCCAAGGTGCCGGCGGCTTGCGTCGCTCCACCGGAGCTCCCTGACCCTTCTCGCCAGATCCCGCCGTCGATTTTCCCGTCTTCAGAAATGCCTGCATCTCGCAATTGACGAGTTGAAACCAAAAAAAAATTAAATATAAGTCGAGCAACAAGCAAAAGTTTGCCGCGTCCAGACCGCGCTCTTATCGATAAACTGTTATCGAGGCTTGCCAGGTTGCCGGGTGCAGGGTTGCCAGGCGGCGCTTGGCAACAGTACACTTAAGAAAAGTAGAATAACGTTTATAAATAAATTGTTTTTGTACAAATACGAACGATGCTTTTAGGGGATTGGCATGAGGTATATAATTTATGTTTGGATAAACTTTTAGATATTTTGTTTCTTGATTTATTCGCTTCTCCATGCACTTAAATTAGGCTTTGCTACTTATTTTGTAAAGTTCAATAGTTCATATTAAGTTCTTTTTGTTTCATATATTTTACAACAGAAGATCCAAAATGCAATATCCAAATTTTCCTGTCACTTAATGCGTTCGTTAAAGCTCAATCCTTAAAATATATATTTAAATATTGGTGATAGTAAAGAGGAAGTCTAATTTACAGGGCTGTATATATAATTACGATTTACATAAAATTGTTTGTATTTAGGAATAAAAATTCAATTTATGTATACATAACACAAGGTCAATAAAACCAACACAAAAACCAACACAATAAAAATTAAAAAGAATAATTTAATACAGATAATTTGTTGCTGTGTAGGAAACACGTTGCACTTCGCAACCCTGGCCTGCATCGCCACTGTTGCACACTGGCCCCTTGTGTTATTGTTTTTGTGGCCTTTTTTGTTTTATTGCGCTTAACTACTGGTTTTATACAATAGCCCCCACAATATCTGGCAGGATATAAATAGAGCGGCTTTCGCAGGCGGGTGGACAAACATGATAAGCCGCCCAGCGCGTGCCACCGAGTGTTTTATAAGAGCGCGATTTCGATTTCGATTTTGATTTTGATTTGCCATTGCCATTGTTGTTTGTTACGCCTCTTCCCACAAAAACCCACAACCAAAAAGAGCACACAAAACCTTGCCAAATCTTTGTTGTTATGTAAATGCACGGAAGCAGAACGTTGGACACAAAGGCACCATCATCATCATCATCATTATCCGCATCCGCCTCCGGATAATCCGCCATAGTCCGGGTGTCGCCCATTGGGACACAAAGCGAAAGGTCGGAGCACCCGCAAACATCACGCGATTGTGAAAGTTTCACCTGCCCAGAGTTTGTTTAGCGCTTGTTTACCTTTCGTATTGTGGAGTTATTGAGTGTTAACGTACCGTCTATTTTACAGATCATCCCACGGCTCGGAAATGGCCGCCAAGGCCGACGAATCCTCGCCAGCAGTTGCGCCCGGCGGCAGTAGTGCTCCCAGTCCCGTGCCCTCCAGTGGACGCCATCAGCTGCGCCCCGTAAAGTTCGACTATGCGGACTCCTTTGCCTGCACCTACATTGTGTCCGTGGTGGCCGCCTCCATCGCGGAACTGGCCACCTATCCCCTGGACCTGACCAAGACGCGTCTGCAGATCCAGGGTGAGGGAGCCGCAATCCCCGCGGGAAAATCCAATGTGAGTGGAACCCATAACTTCCTGATTCCTGCTTCCTGCTTGTCGTTCTTATCGTCTCCGGCTTTTGGTTATTCCCAATCCCGAACCCAGTTCCTAATTCCAATCATAGATTCCTCTGCTCACAAATTAATCCAAACATAGAACTGCCTACCCCTCTGATTTAACGCGATAAGAGTGCCAAATTTCCAATGTATTGCGAACGATAGATAAGGCAAATCGGAGTGGGCACGGCCATGCTGATAACACTTGGCTTTCGAGACGCTTTTGCAGGGCGTTTCGGTATCAGGCACAGCTTCATCTGTTACAGCTCCATTCCCTCCCACCTTGGTTCGCCCATTCACCACCACTACCACCACCACATCCGTAGGCGTAATCGTATACCCCATCCTGCTTTCCCATTTTTGTGTGGATCGATTTGAAACGAATCGTTCGTCATACGGACAATTCCTGGGCAATTTAGATAAGCTCTGTTTATGACTGAAAGAAAATAAGATAACGATGATAAACATAAATAGGTACTCATTTTAAACTTAATAAAATAATACAGTTTAGCTAATGACAGCAACAAACCTTTGCTACTTTAAAATGTATGAAATTAGTGACAACAAACAATGATTTTAAGTAAGAAAACGTATATAATTGTCAAGATAAAAGATTTGTAGATACAGATAATATTTTTTGACGACCTATTTTTGATTTTGTAAATATGTAAAAACGGTTTAAAGATACAGAATAAATTACTGTTTTTCCTATTAAAGATAATTGTATATTGTTTAGGTAGCTCAAATGTTTAAATGTTAAAATATTAAAAGCAATACAACTAAAATTTTAGAATATGGAATATAACTTTAGGTGCAAAGAAACGTGTTGTCTATTAAGAACTATAAGTGTACATATATATTATAGTTTAACATGTTCGTTACCTAAGTAAACATTGAACTAGTTAACTTTTTACTTAATCAAAATGTTATCCATTGGATAAAATGATAGAGGTAGCATATCGTTGGCATAAAAGCAGGTAATACATTGCACTTTAGAGATCGAACCAACCCACTGCCCAACCTTTTCCGTTTGTGTGTGCCTGTTCCATGTGAATCTTGTGTTTTTTTTCGGCCTGCAACAGATACAGATACTGATACAGATCCTACAATGAACCACCCACAATTACCGATTACCAACGATTACGATTACCATTACCAGATGCAATACCGCGGCATGGTGGCCACCGCCTTCGGAATTGCGCGCGAGGAGGGCGCCCTGAAGCTGTGGCAGGGCGTAACGCCGGCGCTCTACCGACACGTCGTCTATAGGTGGGCATTCCCAAAAATCCTCATTCCAGATCATCTAGATCATCGCCGCAGGCACAGCCACAACCACAGCCACAGCCACAGTCAATCTGCCAGCAGCTGTCCAGCTATCAGCTATCAACTATCAGCTATCAACTATCAGCTATCACCCATCAACGGCAGCAAATTCTAATCCGAGTTCTCCCTGTCCATCCGCAGCGGAGTGAGGATCTGCAGCTATGACCTGATGCGCAAGGAGTTCACTCAGAATGGCAGCCAGGCGCTGCCCGTTTGGAAGTCGGCGCTGTGTGGTGTCACCGCCGGCGCCGTTGCCCAGTGGCTGGCCTCGCCCGCTGACCTGGTCAAGGTGCAAATCCAAATGGAAGGCCGGCGACGGCTGATGGGCGAGCCGCCGAGGGTGCACTCCGCCGGCCACGCCTTCCGACAGATCGTCCAACGGGGCGGAGTGAAGGGCCTGTGGAAGGGCAGCATCCCAAATGTGCAGCGAGCGGCGTTGGTCAATCTGGGCGACCTAACCACATACGACACCATCAAGCACCTGATCATGGACCGCCTGCAGATGCCCGACTGCCACACGGTCCACGTGCTGGCCTCCGTTTGTGCCGGCTTTGTGGCGGCGATCATGGGCACGCCAGCGGATGTGGTAAAGACGCGCATCATGAACCAGCCCACCGACGAGAAGGGGCGGTGAGTAGAGCTGGATTAGAGCCATTCGAATCGCTATCCATCTATTGCTTTGCTTTGTTTTCCCACAGGGGCCTCCTGTACCGCGGATCTGTGGACTGTCTGCGCCAAACGGTGGCCAAGGAGGGCTTTGTGGCGCTGTACAAGGGCTTCCTGCCCTGCTGGATACGGATGGCACCATGGTCGCTCACCTTCTGGCTGTCCTTCGAGCAGATCCGCAAGATGATCGGCGCTTCTGGCTACTGAGCCACCGCTCCAGTTTATGTCTGGGGGTGTAAATGTGCATACGGGCTGAGGGATGTATGTATAGTGCAGTTCGTTCAAATTAACCCGCCAGAGAGTTGGTCCTGACCCTCTTTCCCGTGCCTGAATACCTTAAAGCGGCTTTTGCCCAAGCTTATAGCTCATGCTATGTCCAGTTTTAGTCTGTCATATGCCAGAGGGTTTTCCCCACTCAGTTCTTTGGGTTCCTTTCTCGTATCTTTTGTTATTGTTGTTGCCTTAAGAAAATCAAAAACCTTACAATAAAGCAAGAAACTTGTTATTTCAAAAAGATGGGTTACTTTTCTAAAGAGCCTTTTGAAATAGAAAGAGACAGACAGCAATGCTGGTGCTCTTCTTTAAATCGAGTTATACATATATAAATAAGCTATAAGCCTTCCTGTGAAAATGATAGATCGATTTGAGTGTTTTATCAATAGATGTCTTTTTGGTATATGTTTATTTCTAACCAGCTCCAGTGCAATTAAGTAAAATCAAGAAAATAAAATTGGTAATAATACCTAGGAGACATACACACAGGCACACATATGTACATAAATACATAGCTATGTATAATATATATAGATATAGATACATATATCCAAAATTGCATTTACGTTTCGATTAAAGACTGAACAATGGAAAAGTTGGGTGCCCAAAAGCAAAACACACACAGAACTGGAAACCCGAAAACAGCTGGAATGACAAAGGCATCTGGTTGGACATCCTTTAGCCATCGTCATCATCATCTGACGTTCTGAAGTTCTGGAGGGGAGCGGGGGAATGAATGAACGGCGACGGTGCTGATGGTGCAGGTGTCTCGCCGCCCCTCCAATTGGTCTGTCGTTGTTGAAGTCGTCGTGTTCTTTCTGTGTGGCTACATGTGCAAGACTTAATCCAAAGTGTGTGTGCTTGACTAGACGCCGAGGAAAGCCAGTGCCGGAAGCAGGACCACTACTCCAGTCCCAGCATCCAGTTGATGCCTTGTACTATGAAGAAGATGAGCGGCTGCCAGGCCACCAGCCAGCGGATCCAGTCCAGCAGGCGTCCGTACAGCACATGTGGCTTCTCCCAGCTGCCCAAAGAGTCAAGGTTAGATATTGGGATCACAGAGCACTCTGTATGGCTTACGGATTGCGGAACATCTTCTGCAGATCGACCTTCTCCTTGCAGTAGGGACACGTCTGCTTCTTGCCCACAATGCACCAGCCACGTATGCAGAACTCGTGGAACACATGGTTGCAGGACAGCTTGTACGTGTTCTCGATGACGCCCTCTTCCTTCTCGGAGACCAGCAACTGGTTGCCACAAACGGCGCAGACATTGTGATCCAAATGCCGGGTGGGAATGCCCTGAGGTGTGTAGTACTGCGAGGGAAATGGTGGTGGCTTTAGTAAAGCAGGCCTTGGGAGGACAATCCATACTCACGCCTATGGCGGCTGCCATCTTATCCGAACATATCTCGGATATATCCCGACCCAGCACACCGATGTACAGACCATAGAAACAGAACATTAGGCCCACATCCATCCAGGTGTTGGGTGGCTGCGAGAACAGGTAGTTCATGCCCAGGAAGGCGGCCATGATCACCAGGTAGCCCACCAGACCCAGGCCGTAGCTCAGCTTGTAGATGAAGTAGAACCACTTGTAGACCAGCCTGCAAATCGGATTAGATTGGTTATCATCCGGATAGTTGCGTAGGGGTGCCTTATCTACGGCTCTAGGGTGACTCACCTGGGCGTTGTGCCCTGGATGGGCTTGCTGATGGCCCGGCGCATCACCAGGGCCGTGATGCAGGTGAACACCAGCCAGATGAGGATGAAGCGCAGCCAGCCGAAGCTGCAGGAGATGATCAGCGGGATGAGCCACATGGCCAGCAGGGTGACGAAGGAGTACGAGCTGTAGTGGCGCTTCTTCCACTCGACCAGGATGATCTGGGCAATGACCAGGGTGACGAACAGGATGATCACCATCTCGGAGTGCATGGCATCGTGGCCGCGATGCTTCTCCACCATCAGTTGGTGCTCCGCTCTGTGGGATTTGGGTATATACTTAGCAACTGGAAAACAGGGGCTACTTTCTGTTGGGATAGAACTCACCGCATGCGCTCCTCCGGCGTCATCTCGTCCAGGGACTACACACAGCATCCAGGTGATTCCATGTGAATGGGAAATAACATTTTATCCGTAAAGAAGCCCTATTTCAATCCACCAGCAACAAAAAAAAAAAAGCACTCACCTTATTGAGGTCCACGGGCGCGTGCAGGTCCATGTGCTGCTGGTGCATCTTATTGCCGTTGTGTCCGCCGTAACCCGCAGCCGCCAATCCGCCGGACAATCCCACACGTCGTCTGTGTCGCTGCGTTATCTTGCCACCACGTATTTCGCTCGGTTTTACCTTTAAAATAACTCTTGAAAAGAAAACAAATAATTACATTTTGTGGTTGTGTGCGTGTCCAGCTGCCGTGGCGTTGCCATTTGTCATGACGTGCGTGAAAATAAATATATATGTGTGTGACCTACACCGAGCAGAAACAGCTCACACGGCAAAACTTCAAAATTTAAACTAACTAGATTCGGAATTTTCGTTATTTGTTTTTCTTTGATCGTAACCTTGATTTTATTAGACGACGACGACGACGTTTTGTGATAAAACGTTCGAGGCGGGCGTTGCCAGATGCCGGTCGTTGACTGTGTTCGTTTACCAACACTGCCAGCTGCGTTTGTTTTTATTTTGAGCAAACAATTTTTTTTTGGTGGTCTAAATTTGAAGTGAAGTAAATGTTTTAATTGGGCGAAATAAATAGCCATGCAAGTGGAGCACTGGGGCGCACTGCCCACGGAGGACGATGGTGTCCAACTGACGCCGGACAAATATGTGCCCACGGCAGCCAAGAAACCAAAACTGGACGAGATTCGGGAACCGCAGCCGTACGAAAAAAAGTAAGTATATCCAGAATACCTGTTCAATTCGATTGGGTTGCACATCTTGCCATTCCACGCAGCCACAAGTTGGAACTAAAGAGCGCCTTGGTCACCCAGACCATCGAGGTGATGAAGCAAACCGAGGTCCTGCAATCCCTCATCGAAACGTACTCCAACAAAAATGTAAGTTCCGGGAAGTCCCCTCTTTAGACATAAAGTAACACCCCCTAACCATTGTGAGAATCAGATTTTAAAAGTAAAGGAAGTATAAGGTACACCAAATAAACCACTCCTATAACTTAACGTTGTGTACCAACTCATAAACTTATTTATTTTTCATCCTGTTTTACCACTACGCATTAAGTACAAATTCTAATATCATGTGATTTCCAATCTAGTTTTATGAATTTATCTATGCCCATAACTCCCACAGAAATTAAACCCGCAATGGTATTTACATTTAATTTAAAATGGCTTTAAATGCTGTAAATTGTAATTTAATTTAGGCATCTTATGGGTAAATATGCTTAAAATCGTAGTATATCTTTCAGTAATCCTGGAAAAAAATGTATTCTATTTTACTAACGTTAATTACTTGTTAAAGCAGTTCTTATATCGTGTGTGCTCTAATCATATCTTGTGTCTTAGTTAACTCTAAACTTCAAATTCTATAGAAACTAATGATACAATGTTATAATTATCACTGTTTACTATATATTTACTGAACGTTAATTGTTTTTACAAGACTCACAACTCCATTTAAATTATATTTTTATTAAGTACAAAATGCCACTCTATTTACCCCAGGGAAGTTCGAATTACCTGCTAAATCCCTGCCTTATGATACCGGAGGTGGACTTTCCGCCGGAAAACGCCGCCGAGCTGGTGGGCAGCCAGAAGTTCCAGAAGCCCATCTGGTTCACGCCCACGGTGGACACGGCCTACTCCCGCGGGGATCCGCAGTCGTATCCGGAGATCTCGAGCAGCACCTGTCGCCAGGCGGTGCGCAAAGTGATGTGCGGCATGCTGCGCCTGACCGGCTTCACCGACTGCTCCGAGTCGGCGGTGCAGCTGCTGACGGACGCCACCGAGGAGTTCCTGCGCAGCTTCATCGGCGAGTATCGTGGCTACTACGATGCACAGTCCCGACTGCAGAAGTCCACGGTACTGCAGCTGGCGCCGTTGGAACGGGCCCATGCTGCGCTGACGGGCACCTCGCTCACCCAGGTGCACAACTACTACAAGCACAAGGTGCTGGCCAGGAACCGCGTGGAGATCGGGGAGTTCAACAGCGTGCTGCAGGAGTACGACAAGCTGATGAAGGAGAGCCAGAGCAGCATGCAGAAGCAGCAGAGCAACGAGTTCAACGGCCACGACTTCCTCAACATCCTGGACAACAGTGCGACGGGCAGCAGCCAGAGCATCGGTGGCAACATGGCCATGGGCGACATGCTGCAGGATCTGGGCGGCAGCACGGGCTCCAGTGGCACGGTCAGCTCCCAGCAGATGCTGTACGGTCTGCTCGATGGCCAGATATCGTCCAACACCTCCAACATGACGGGCACAAGCGGCAATGGCAGCACGAGTGGCAATGGCAACGGGGTCACGGTCACCAACTTTCATGCCACCTTCGAGTCGTAATAAAGCCACAGAATCCTCAACTTTTAAAACTAAACGCAACTGATTTTTAATATGGCATAAAAGCAACTGCTTAAGGGAGGAGGAATTTTCTTAAGCTATCTTCCCAAAAAATCCTTATATAATTTTTCATACAGATTTTCAAGAACATTCAGATTTAATCGATACTGATTAGATGCCAAAACAAGTTTAAAAACTTAGTTAATTTTAACGGGCACAGATATCTCACAAAATTTTCCTGATTATTATAATAATCGCGCTTTTTTTTTTTTTTAATCTAATGGATATCCAGTTAAAAAATGTATTGGTATAGCCATATAAGATTTAAAATTTAAATTTTATTGTTCATAAATTTAGCTCAAGAGGATTTATTCTTGATTATATTAGTAACACAAATCAAACCTTTCAAATTGTTTATTGATCAACTAAGACCTTTAGTTTAAGGTTTATCATTAAAAGATAAAGCCATAGAATTTTTAATATTTAAATATTTTTTTTTCAAGAAGATCCATTCCTTATTACATTGGTTATAAAAATAAAAACTTTCAAGTTGTTTATGGATCAACTAAGATCTTTAGTTTAAAGTCATAAACCCATAGAAATTTTAATAATTAAACATTTTGTTTTTCATAACTTTAGTTCAAGATTCCTGATTACATTAGTTATACAAATTAAACCTTTTAAATCTTCAAGGGATCGACTTAGATCTCCAGTTTAAAGTTTTAATGTTAAGGCCATATTTTTTTTAAATAAATAAATACCTTTCTACATAACGTTATTTATAGAGTTTCCATGTCATTTATTTATTTTATTTTTACTAATCTTAGACTCGTTCCAATTGTTTTGTCGCCTTCGCTTGGTGAACTCGTTTGTGGCTTCAATGGCCAGGAGTTTGGTTGCCTTAGGATCGCTGGCTCTGTACTGGAAGATCTTGTCCGGACGCGGCTTCTTTTGGGCCCAGGCGAGCAGATCCTTGCCCTCGAGTATGGATTCACCAGAGACCACCACAGAGTTGAGAGCTTCTGACGAGGATTGATCTTCTTTGGAGGTCCGTCTTTTGATTTTGGGTTTCTTTTTAGGACCTGGAGGGCCTTCCACCACCAAATCGGCGATTAAATAGCAATCGGCATTGGATACCAGCTTAACTTTGTCGGGTGGGGGCTTCTGTTTCTTCAGGGGATTGGGCTTGACCAGGGAAAACTCAATTTGCTCTTGGATTATGCCACTGAGCCTGCTCCAGATGTGCGTTTGCATCTCCCGCGTGATCTGGAGGTCACTGGCGGGGGCCTCGTGCTCCTCCAGGTGGCGTTCGCTCTTTGGGATCGGTTTATCCTCCTTGCCAGTGACCATTGGCTGCTCCTCCTTGGCTATTTCACCTGGCTCCACTTTCGGCTGCCCCTGAAACATGGCATTTGTCAGCAGGGTGGTATCTGCCGCCTCCAGGAACTGACGCATCTGCGCATCATCCTCAGAATCCGAATCGGAGTCGCTGGATCTTGGTTTCTCCTTCATTCTGTACTATATTAAGCTAACAGCGTTTGTTTACATTTTGCACCTAGCCGAGCCGGCTGATAATGCACACGTGCGTGTTTTGTCATATTGTTCAACACTATATTTGTGTGTTTTAAATATTAGCAACCGGAGTATTCTAGATATTTTGAATGTGATCTTCTTTAAACCTAAATGGAAAATTTAATTTTAACAATGTTTATTGTGTAACAATAAAATGAGGGTTTTACACCCTAAGAACTATTCCAGTTAGGGTCGAAAATGAAGTTTTAGAATAATTGCCATTATATCATAAAGCTAAATAGATTTGTAGAAAATTTTCCTAAAACCAGTACTTCTAAGCCGAGAACTTTTCTCGCGAAGATTTTGAAAAGCCAAACCTCTAAAGGTTTGTGGTTCAATTTTCTAAGAATCTGCTTCCAAATTCTGGCCTTAAGAAAATGTATAATTAAAATAAATGGCTTTGTTGAAAAGTGGCCCAAAACCAACACATCTAACCATAACATTGCCTACATATATCCGATTTGGAAAAAGCATAACACTTAGGGTTTGTAATTTAATTTTCCAAGAATCTGAAATGTTGGCTTCTAATTTCGGATCGATTTTTGTTTAATTTTAAAGAGAAAAATGAGCTAAAGCCACTTCTAAGTCCATAACTTTTGCAGGATAAATTCTATATAAAAATAGGCCTACCACTTATAATAATCCCCATATTATTTTAAGAGACTAGTCGCCTATTTCAGCCCAATTCTGTGAATTTTAAATAAATTTAATTTTAATGAAATTTTTTAGATATATATATTTCTAAGTCGATTTTGTAGCTACCGATTGCCAACCGTATAATCAGGCGCTTTCCAACACTGATCGTCGTACACCTTCCGGTTAACCGGTTAACCGTTTCAGTCCGCTCAAAATGAATCCATTTGAAATGCCAGTTTAAAGGTAACGCTTTATTGCTCATAACTGAGGGAACTTTGTTATCGGATCCAGCAGACTAGGCCACCGAGCTGCAGAGCCCGCAGTTGCTCACCGGACACATCTTCATCTCGACATCCTCGCCCACCCGCACCACGGCGGCCATTCCGTTCTCGGAATGCGGCGAGATGTGGCAGTGGAACATCCAGTAGCCGGGACTGTTCGAATAGAAGCGGATGATGGTGTAGCCGAAGGCGGGCACCTGCACCGAATCCTTGAGAGGAGCACCTTTTCCGCGACGCGGCAACGGCGTCTTCTTGTCGATCTGCTCGATCTGGGCGATCTTCTGCTCGCCCAGCACACCCATGCCCACCACCCGGAACGTATAGCCGTGCAGGTGGACCGGATGCGGCGTCTGCGACAGACTGGAGATGACGAACTCCACCTGCTGATTGGCCGGCACCTGGATGACATTCGAGCACTGGCAGTGGCGCTGCCGGCAGTTGAACCCCAAATCCGCCTGCTGCGACCTATTGCAAAAGAATTGGCCCACGCCCAGGTTGCGGGTCTGCAGCAGGGACATCTTGGGCATGCTGAAGCTTATGTCGTCCATCTGGAAGCGGAAACCCTCGCCCTGGCGCACCTCAAACGCATTCATGCTCGTGTAGAACGTGACCGATGGCTGCACTTCCGGTTCCTGTCGCTGGGCATTCAGACTGGCCAGCGATATGCTACCACTACCACCACTCTTTGGATCGTCGCCCAGCTCATTGAGGGTCTTGCCGGGCGCATCGTAGGCATAGCTCAGGGTATGGGTGTCCAGCGATCGCGGATCCGCATCCCGATAATGCAGCACCGCCTCCTGGTGCAGCTGGTTCTTGGCACAGAAGCTGTAGCCCTTCACCCGGATCCAGTAGTTGCCCACCTCCTGGTTGGCGTGCAGCACAAAGTCGAACCGCTCCGCCCCGTGCATCATGATGCGCTGCACCTCCACCGGCTCGATGTCGTTGCCATCGCTGGCGATCACCACCAGGTCGTGATTGTCGATGCTCAGGCTGATCGGGCAGTTGGACACACCTGCGAAGGTGGATTGCAAACATTAGCAAATGCATTTATTAGGAACGGAAATAATCGTTTCTTGAGGCTTTTGTTTTTAAACATCTACTGGGAACTTTGTCTATATCAATTACAAATACATCTATTTTTTACTCTTGTGCAGAAAGTGCAAGATTGTTAGCCAAATTGAAAAAAAACAACTAAAACTCGTTTTTCTTTTAGGCCCGACGATGTAAAAATCAACAAAACCCATAACAAAACTCGTAAAAACTCAGTAAGCTTTTAAAAATAAAAATCTCAAATAACGTTCTTTTTGGCCCTATTTTTAATCAAAGTATTTTGGACATAGAATATAAGACGTATAATTCAAGTAAGTCTCACCCCAAGTTATTATTATATATCAAACAGTTACAAAAATGTTTAAATACCAACGAAAATTTAAATAAATAATATTTATTTTCTTGTATTTCTGAGCTATTAAAAATATTTGTTTTTTTTTTTTTTTGGCATAATTAAATTAGGGCTTATTACATCCCTACTGATTGACGTTTCGGTAAAAATCTTCAAAATTAATATAACCTTTAAGTTCAGACATGGTAATAAAAATGGAACGCACCGAAAATTTAAAAGATTAATGACAATTAAATAAATATTGGCTTGGGAATCTTTTAAAATAAAATAAATTAAATATTTGTTAACATTAAATCGTTAGACCTTAAACAATTATAATTAATTGATAAATAAAAAATGTAGGGAAATGAATTAAATGGATCTGAGAGAATTGGGTTTCAAAAACTTTGCGTTTTGGTGTATGTTATTCAAGGCTCATCCTTGATTTTTATACATAATTATAGACATTGTTCACAGACTCACCGTTGAAGATCACCCGGAACCGGTAGCGTCCGCCCCTGACCACCGGAAAGTGGGCGTAGAGCGTCGGCTTGGGGGCCTTGACGCCCTTCTTGAGGTTCCTGCCCCGCCCGTTGATCAGGATGTTCTCGGCCACGCTCTCCACGAAGTTGTGCACCCAGTCCTGGATCATGATCACATGCTCCGTCAGATCGAAGTCGTAGAGATGGGCGTGGGGATTCAGTTTGGGCGGCATGCGCACCACCAGCGGACCGGCCAGTCCGAAGGCCCGCTGGTGCTCCGTGTGGCTGTGCCACCAGTTGGTGCCCCCGTGATCCACCTCGAAGCGGTACCGGAAGGCCTGTCCGGCCTCGATCGGATATTGGGTCACGTGGGGCACCCCATCCATGAACGGGGTCAAGCGCTGGTGCATCCCATGCCAGTGGATCGTCGTCGTCTCGTGCATGCTGTTGATCACGTCCGCCACCACGGTGTCCCCGTGGCACACCTCGATGCTCATCCCCGGCAGCTGGCCGTTGACCACCATCACCTCGCTCTCCAGCCCATCCGCGTACTTGCAGTCGTCGTTCGCCGCCAGCTGCTCCGCCAGTTTAATGCCGTCGATGTACTCCTTGCCACTCAGCTTGAAGCGGAACTTGGACTGCAATTAAAGGGTTTCAATTGCAGACTTTATTATAATTAAAAAATCAGGACAAGATGGTAAAATGTAAGCCTCGAGAAACAGATCTTAAATTAGAGTTTTCATATAAAATTGAATGAGAAAGTAATAGAAAAATCAACATCACTTCACTTCAATGATTATCACGATATAGAGTCCTCATAGAGAATATAATATTTTAATTATGGCTGCAAGGCTATATTAGCTTGGGCTTGCCCAAGTTTGCTTTCATTATTGTTTTTTTCAGAGTATTTCAGACTGGGTGGGTTAGAGGACTCTATAAAATAACTTAATTTTAATTGCGGTTTTTATAATAATAATGTTGTAATCCATACTTTGTTTTAATATTTTTCTTTTCAAGTTAAACTGCCTGTATCAAAGCTAACGCTTACTTAAACTTTTGTATAGTTAATGTGGCTTTTAAGGGCTGTATATTTGGTATTGTGTATATTATGGTTAGGAAACATGTTGACTCAAACCGTTTAAAGTGTAGATAAAATGGAATAAATTTGTTCGCAAAATGCGCCTGGCCTTAAAAATAAAAAAAAAATTACTCATACGACACGTATGTAAAGCGGTAAACAATTTGATCGAAGAGCAACAGTGCGTATAAGTGATAAACTTTAAGGACAACGCTAAATTCCTTTCTATGCGCCTTAAATGCACCAAAGTACATATTATAAGAGAGTGAGAGAAGAACCTCAAAAACCAAAAGATTTTCAAGGAACTGCAATTGTCACAAGGAAATAAGAACACTCGTGACGCAGACCATGTTCTAAAGCAAAAGGTGTGGGGATTTTTTTTTATAGGGTCTTTTTGGAGTCCCTTGATCTCACCTGGAGGTATCGCTTGCAGGTCTCCGCCATCGTGTCGTCGTAGTGCACCACCATGTAGTAGTAGCAGGTCATTGGCTGGTTGTCCGCGCAGTCGCGCTTGCAAGGATGCCGCATATTGTCCTTTTCCGCCGCCCGCCACTGCGAGGACTCGCCTGCGCCTGAGGACAGCTGGGGATACATCTGCATTATCCGCTCATACTTGCTCACGATCCGCTTCCCGCTGGCATCTATTGGTATTATTGGCAAATTGTTAAATTCGACATTTTTCTTAACTTATTAAGTTCTATTATTTAAAGAGTTTGGAACTATAAATGTTGCCAATCAATACAACAGACAATTTAGATAATTATCCCTTTATATCATTTAAATGTATCTCCAAATATCATGATAATTCACTTTATTTAGTTTAGTAAGTTAGTGGTTATGTCCTTTTAATAATGTAGTGATTTTTAACATTAACAAGAAAATAGCGAACAGCTAATTAAAAGCTTAAAGTTTGTTATCAGTATCAGGATCCTGTTGTTTAAATATCCTTGAGCTGTTTTAGGTTTAGAAATTGCATTTTAAACTTTTTTAAACAGACACAGATCAATTAAAAAAATATTGTTATATGTTAGGTTTTTGTTTTATAAAACTCAAAGTATGCACCAATTTTGATCGACTTTTTATTGAAAGTTCTTCAAATTGCGAACGTAGTTTTGTGTAGTCTTATTCGATTTCACTTAAGCACCTTGAATGCCATATATTTGCACGCTTATAAGGCACAAAGTGAAGACTAGTGTCTGCACCAAATTGAATTTCATGCTCGCATCCAATCGAAACAAAAACAGAAGCACTATTTTACGAATCAAATTTGAAATTGGAGCCGCCTTTGTGGCTATGGCTGAGGGCCAAATATGACTGTTAATGATCTTCCGGCATCGGTTACCTTTTTGTAAGCAACTCCGTCAGGGAAGTCGGCCCGGAATTGCCTGGAATCGGTTGCTTGTCGGCCGTGTCAAACAACTCGTAGCAGTTAATTGAAGATTGTGCGGCTGACAAGCCGCTGGAAGAACTGAAGATGCCGATTACTGACGCGCATGCACGAATAATTCCCCATGTTCCAGGAGCTACTGTTGGCGAAAATGATTCACAGTGAAATGGCAGTGGCATTGGCCTAGTTTGTAAATTTCCAAAAAGAAAAATTGGCAGCCTTGGTAAATGTGAAAGGAAACCAACATCTTCATTCGTGTTACAACTTATTTTAAATTGTGCAGTGATTTATTGTTTTCCAAATTTGCAAGGTAAAAAAAAAAAAATCATGTACCTCAATATCAAACTCAAATTAAAAATAAATTATTATGACAACAATAAAATGTAACGTTAAATGTTTAAACAGAAACCGTTCAAATAATATAAAACTCTGTTCATTTTTAAATTTTGGTTTTTAACTTCTTAATTCATTTTTTTTAATGTATAATTTTAAAAAGTTTAAAATGGTGAAACTAGAATTTAATAAAATTTAAAAGCCTAGTTTCAAGCATTTTAAACTATTTAAAATAGGCTAAATTTCTACAAATTCTTAAGCTTTAAATGTTTTTACAATTAAATTTTAACTGCTTCAAAATTTGTATAACATTTTAATAATATCAACATATTTTGTTTACATTTTTTAATTAGTTTTTGTACTTCTAATAATTCTTAGGAAATTTTAAATCCGAACGAAACAGTGTTGCATAACGTGCCACTTTGGCAGAGTTTGCAACTGCCCGTTGGGCAACTGTTAAAGCTTAAGCGAGTTTGATTTTGTGGCAGTTATATTTTAGAAATATGCAAAACTTGTTTTGAGAAATGGTACCCGTTATCAGCCACACCCATACCTTTGCCCCCCATTTGCACATAGCATTTATCTTGGGTTTGATAGGGCGATGCGATGGGAAAAAACAAGCAGCAGGAGTTGTCAGAGAAGATTACACATTTTAATTTCTGTGCTGACGCTAATCAGACTGCGATTGCCCACCAGCCGAGAGTATTCCAGAGTATTTTTTTGCCATTGTCTTGGGGGCAAAAGCAAGCAAGCCACAACCCCCCGCAACCCCCTTATTAGCGTACCATATAATGTATTTTGAATTTCGTTTTCATTTGCTTTTATCGCACTGGCAATACTGGCCGTGTGTGTGTGTGTGTTTGTGCTTGTGGGTGGTGGGGGGTATGATTATGCATAAAACAAACAACAAGTAGCTGCAGCAAAACATATAGCGGTAAACGAACTCACACATAAGGCGAAGTGTACGTAGGCAAACAAGTTTCAACGCCGCAAAAATCGCTCAATTGGCCGCCATGGAGTTCATTAGCCAGTTGGTACGATTGGCGAGCAGACGCGCCACCGGATTCAATCCAATCCTGCAGAGAAATCAGAGCAGAAACATCCGAAAACAGTAAGGTTTTCCCCTCTTTTGTGGCAGAGACAACGGTTATCTGTGTGAGTGTGTGTGTGTGTGGGTGGCAACCCTGCCCCATAACACTCACATTGATAGCAATATTGTACTGCCGCCGGTTTTTGGTGAAATTTCACAACTGGCCAAGATTTTTAACCGCTCGGCAGGCACACAGCACCATGGACACCACAATTCACTCTGCGGGCATTGCCGAGATCCATAATGTTCCGATGAGCGTGATCCAGAGACCCATACCCTCCGTTCTGGACGAGAAGAAGGTGGAGTCCCTGATGGAAACCATTAAGGTGGGTACCAAACAACCCGAAGATGGCGATGGGTGGGGTGCAATGTGCCTAGATAAGGTGAAAGGTACAAAACAAGTTCAGAACTCTGTGAGATTACAAAAACAGCATTGGGAAGATCTAACAACATTTTGAAATTACATTTAAAGCTATTAAGGATTTTTATGGTGGTATAAGAATATTTCCTAAAATTATAGGTTCATAACATGTTTAATAGAAATGCTTCTAGTTTTTTTTATTTTTATTTTGTTTCCAATTTGAATTTTAAAAACCAAAAAAATATATGTAGGTATAGGAGTATTGATCGTTTAATGAACATACCTGTACATGTTCTAAAAATTAATCTAAAGTTCTATTAAAAGAGTGTTTTTTTTTTATTGGGTACAAGGACCACTAAAAATTAAAGATTAAACTAAAACTTTTGGGCTTTCAAAAACTAACGTGAAGAGTTATTCCATTAGATGTTTTATAAATAAATGAAAATTTTTGCCTAAATAAGTACTGATATGGCAACCAACCAAGGTCGAGAATATAAAAAATAGGTTTTTGGGTTAGGAGTGTTCTCACCACACAGTCACCACTCTACTCTCCACAGGGCGAGAGCAGCGAGGACGAGGTGCCCCCCATCGATCTGCTGTGGATATCGGGCAGCGAGGGAGGCGACTACTACTTCAGCTTCGGCGGATGCCACCGGTTCGAGGCCTACAAGCGACTACAGCGGGACACGATCAAGGCGAAGCTGGTGAGGTCCAATTTGAAGGACCTGTACCACTACATGGGCTCCAGTGCGCCAAAGTACCTGGCCTGATATTACATTGGTGTTGTATTTTGTGTAACAAATGCATTTTTTGTTGATTTTATTTGGATTGGAAAGTCGTGTTTTACTTGTCGCTGGATAAAGTTCGAATTTCACGGCCAAAGCAATAACAATAGCATTGTTTTTTGTTCGTTTTTGTTTTGTTTTTGGCACTCATAAAATTTGCGTATATACTGTGCTTATCGCTGGACTCTAAATTTGTTTACCTAATCTCTGATACCATATAATACAATGCAATACAATTCTAAATAAACGAGCAAGCAAACAACAAAAACAGGCTCAGATGCTCGTTTTTATTTTGCATACTTCGTTACGCGCCTTAAAAAACACGCTAAATGTTTTTTTTTTTTATGAAATGATCGTGAGCGCCAAGACGCTTCAGGATGATCGGTTGCAAAAGTCGTTGATGCTTTGGTCGAAACTTTGAGCCTACTGCTAGGATCCTACATAACTTGTTCTCTATAATTAACATTTACAGTTTCCCTAAACATATTCGAAATGCAATGAGATGGAGGGCCATGGCCATCTCACCAGAGGAAGGGCGATCTCTCGCGGAGTATGCGTAGTCCGTAGCGCTGCCAGTCGTGCTGCGAGATCCACAGCTCGCGGGCGCTCTCCAGCACGGACATAATGGCCGCTCCCTTCCAGGCCACCATGCCCGCATCCATGCCCTTGGTGAAGACGTTCACCTCGGCGCCGGTGGGCTGGATCTGCTGGCTAATCCGGTGCTCCAGCCAGGCGGCCAGTCCCGGCAACTTGGCACTGCTGCCCACGAGCAGAATGGAGCCGAACATCTTGCGCTTCGTCTCGTAGCTGGACAGCCGGTTGATGGACCGGATTACGGCCTGGTCCAGGGGCAGCACCTGGCCCTGGCCATTGTGGTAGCAGCCATTCGCATTGGACTGCCCGCCAGCTGTCTGCGCCGCCGGCTGCGGTTGGCAGTTGCTGTTTGCCTCGTCCTGATCCACCACAATGAGCTCCTCGTCGTCTGCGGTCACCGGCAGCGGGGGGCGGGGCAGAGATCCGGGGCCCGTGCCCAGGGGCAAGGTGTCGCCACCCCTTACCCCGTTCTTGCGGCCCGTCTCCTTCAGATACTCCGCATCGAAGCAGTCCTCGCAATCGTACTGCTCGTGAGCCGCCTGCTGCGTGCAAACCGCTCTCGTCCGGCCCGTAATGTTCAGCAGCTCGGTGTGGAAGAGGGCCAACGGAGCCATGATGGCCTCATCGCCCACCTGGATGGTGTAGCGCAGCCACTGGCCATTCTGCTTGCGCAGGGTAAAGTGCTTCTCCTGGGCGCCGCAAACGCTGGCGTTCAGATGGCAGAACTTCTCCTTCAGTTCATCCAGCAGATGTGCATCCACATAGCTGTCCTGGACGTTGCACTCGCGATAGGGAAAGCCGCACTTGCGCAGCAGCATGAGGAGCACCTGGTTCAGGTCACCGCCGCCATACGGCAGCCTAACCCTGGCGTCCAGCTGGGAAATGCCGTCCTCTATGCAGGCAATGGAGGTCTTCTGGGCGCCAATGTCCACCACACAGCCGTAGCCAATGCCGGCGCCATAGGTGGAGGCCACGCTGTCCTGGACGAGGAAGCAGCGCCGGAAGCCGAGGCGCTGCAGCAGCAGGGTCATGAACTCGCGCAAATGCCGCCGCACATACACATCGTTGACCACCAAGACGGCGCAGTGGGTGCCCAGATCGCGCAGCGGTATCTTCAGACGTGCCTCCAGGGCATATGCCCAGATGCGCTCCAAATGCTGCAGGCTGGCCTACAATGAAGGGAGTTTTTTTTAGCCACGGGCAAGCCAGTGTAACACCTGCAGCCTCCTCTCACCTGCAGCGAGCCGCCCTTCTCCTTGTGCACATTCAGCTCGCCCCTTTGCATGGGGAAATGGATGTCGTAGTCGCGGGCATCGAAGGCGCTGAGTCGCAGGATCCTGTCGTCGAACAGGACGGGTGCCTCGCGATCCAGCCAGGGCTGCTGGTCTTCCGGCGGCTGGCCACTGGGCGGCGGCACCTTTTCGGCCGGGCTGCTGCGGTTGAAGTTGGCCAACTGCTGCGGCGGCGTGGCCACCCGCAGTCGGTTCTTCTCATCGACGACGCAGTGCTGCAGGATGCGCGACACCGCCAGGCGCTGTGCCTCGAACTCCACCTGCAGCTGGGCGGGATTGATGTTGTCCAGCGGCGGCAGCAGGGCATCGTGGTGCGGCCAGTCGCCGTCCACCTGCCGCCGCTTGTAGGCCACCGCATGGAGCAGGGTGAGCGGATTCAGGTCGGCCGCCCGCCCGATCCTCAAATGCTGCGAGCCCGGATGAATTACGATAATCTTGGGCGCCTCCAGCGGCTGAGCCTGCGGCTGAGGCAGTCCCGTTGGCGGCGGGGCCGGCTGGCGGCCGCTGCTGGTGCTGCTGGCACGGGATCGTCTGCGCGGTCGGTTTGCGGGATTAGGCATCTTTTGTTACTTGACTCTACTCACTGCATCATTAGGTTTCCGGCTCAGATCTTTGGCGGCGTCAAATTGGCCGTGGCAACAACATTTACCTCGCAATCGATATCAGTGCTAACGGCGCTATCGATTGGCTATCGGTTAGAGATGGACTGGAATATCGATTATCGTTCCAGTCCAGCCTCCAAGAACGTGGTTTGTTTTTCTGCTATCACCATCACTAGCAGATCGAGCAGCCCGTTGTGAAATACGCCATTCCAAAATTATCAGCAAATCAGCGGAAATCCCGAACTGATACACCACCACCATCCAACGGAATGTCGCACTTCACCTGTTTGAACTGCGATGCCCGCTTCGCCAGCGCGGATGTGCAGCGGGATCACTACAAGACGGACTGGCACCGCTACAACCTGAAGCGCAGGGTGGCCCAGCTGCCGCCCGTGACCGCCGAGGAGTTCCAGCAGCGCGTGCTGAGCGCCCGCAGCGCCACCGATGCCGCCCTGGAGGAGCAGAACCTGAGTGTCTACTGCCAGGCCTGTCGCCGCCAATTCGGTAGCCAGAAGGCCCACGACAACCACCTGAACAGCCGCAAGCACAAGGAGCTGCTGGCCCGCTTCGAGCGGAACCAGATGACCGCCAGTGGCGGCAGTGCCAGCACCACGGCGTCCGTCTGCACGCGCAGCGTCCTGGAGCCACGCCCACATCCCGCCCTGGCCGCTGCAGCGGCTGGCAAGGGTCGACTGGCCTTCGCCGAGCGGACAGCCAAGGCGGACGATGGCGAGGAAATGGACGCGGAGTACGATGACGACGACGAGTTCGAGGATATTGAGGAGGAGGAGGTAGGAGCACTATATCTATGTCACAGAAAGCTACAACTGTTTCTTAACCTGGTTGCCTCAGTTATTAAGTATCAGAGATCCCGTTACAGAATATTTCCTCAGTGTTACGCCTCTAAAACGAAATCCTCTGTAGAGTAACTAAAGTCGGAACGTCCTAAATAGTTACCAGTAAAAGGGATAACTGTTTTCGTCTATTTCCTATTACCATTTAAATGAAAACAAGTTCCATTTACATATTATTCCATACCCAATAGGAGTAAACATTCGCTAGGAGTCTAAAAGTCTGAAAGTCTATTATCCAATATTGGTCATCCATTCCATCATTGGCTTTAGAAACATTTGCCAAGAGTCTAGAAATCTCGAGGATTCGATTTGGCATATATTTGGGGTTTTTTCCACCTAGTTTCTTTCCTTATTGGGCTTGGACACATTTTCCAATAGTATAAATGTGACTCTAAGAATACCCCAAGAATTACGTTTCAACGCAGGAAGTTAGGAATTGTACATTAATATTGTAGTCCACAGAAAAATCACAAAACAGTTACATTACTTACTATATTTCTGTTGTACTACAATACTTTTTTGCTACTAGCATTATAATATTCTCTTTAAGGTTAAACTACGAAGACCTTCAAATCGTATCAAAGTTCTAATGAATATCAATCTATTATTTTTGAAAGAAAGCATTTGGACATTATGTTTTCTGTTTCATTCAATAAATCTGTCATGTTCTATAGATTTAACGACCCTTAACAGCGTATAGTTCTGAAGTCCTTATTTTATCTGTTGATTAATAATAACCATTGATTAAATGTAACTATAAATGTACCTAATGGAGCTTTTGTTGATGCTTAACAGGTGGACTCCGATGAGTGGGACAAGATACCCGAGAACCCGCTTACAGAGCGCGACTGTCTGTTCTGTGCACACACTAGCGAGGATCTGGTGGAGAACCTAAAGCACATGTCCGTGGCGCACTCCTTCTTCATTCCGGACACCGAATACTGCACGGACATCGAGGGCCTGCTGTACTACCTGGGCGAAAAGGTGGCCAACTATTTCATCTGCCTGTTTTGCAACGATCGCGGCAAGACTTTCTACTCCCTGGATGCGGTGCGCAAGCACATGGTCGACAAGGGCCACTGTCAGATGCTGCACGAGGGCGTGGCACTGGCCGAATATGCCGAGTACTACGACTATAGCTCCAGTTACCCCGATAATGTGAGTATTGCTAAAACTATATGTTCAAGCAGGGTTTTCCCTGTGTTTTTGGTATTGTTTTTAATGTATCAGCTTGTTTGTTTCTACCCCAAAAATGTTGATTCACAACACTTTTTTGATTCCATTTTTTGTTGGTTTTAAAAAAGATTTTGCTGGCCTAAATACTGGGCCTTAAGTTATCAAAAAGAGTTCAAAATTAAATTATTTATAAAGGCAACTTTACAAAATCCAATTTCGAAGTTGAGTCTTTCGTATTTAATAACTAAAAGTTTGCTATAGAACAAAATATGTGACGGGTAAATTTGTCAACTAATTATCTTTAGTTTTAAATGTATTACCACTTACTGGTATTTATGCCATTAATGTAAAACAAAATTAAATCAGACTAATTAAAGATGCCTTAAGCTTAACGAAAAAGTTTAAAACAAACTTAGGAAGCTTAAGATCTTGGTTTCAACCATCTATTAGACTGCGTGAACACCAGTAATACAATCACTAATAGGAACTAAGTTAGCATCCAAATGACAAAATCTCTCCCAACTCTTTAACCCGCACAGAAAGAGGGCATGGACATTGATGACGAGGTGGTGCCGGATCTGCTCGACGGCGATGAGTACCAGTTGGTGCTGCCCTCCGGCGCAGTCATCGGGCATCGATCCCTGCTCCGCTATTACCGCCAGCGTCTGCGGCCGGAGCGCGCCGTGGTGCTGCAGAAGTCCGACCGCAAGCTGCACCGCGTGCTCAGCGAGTACCGGGCACTGGGATGGACGCACACCCAACAGTTGTCCGCCGCTCGCAAGGCTCGGGATATCCATCTGATGAAGCGCGTGCAGTCCAAGTGGCAGATGAAACTGGGCTGCAAGGCCAACAAGCTGCAGAAGCACTATCGCGCCCAAGTTCTGATCTAATCATTTAGCTTTCATCCCGTGTGATTGTACAAAATTAAATAAAAATAAAAATACAACTCGAGTTTTGCTTAAATTAAGCATTTGTTTTTTGCTTTCTATATTACTAGCGATTTCTCGTCGATGTAATTTTACATAATTTAAATTAACAATTAAATAAAGTATAATTTTGATTCGTTTATATAAAGTAAAGTTATGTCGTTACGGTTACAGCATAAAATTAAACATTATAATTAGACCAAAAAAAAAAAAAATAATAGGTTCTAGCATGTAAAAAAAATAAACGCTTTGCAAAATCCATCAAGTCGGGCGCCCACACACAGGATCCTGATCCCTGCCTTCATCCGGGCCGAATGAGGGGGCGTGGTCGGTGATGTGGGCGCGGCGGTGAGAGCGCGAAGTGACTAATTAGTAAAAACCGCAGGTGAATGAGTTTTTTGTGAGGGTACGGGTACATGGAGGGTCAATTTCAGCTAGTTAATGTTAATGTATATATAGTTTGTGTTTGTGTGTCTGTGGCGTGGTGGCTTAAATCGGGTGTCGTATCTCACAAGAATTGGCCCTAATCGTAGGCTTCTGCACAACAAAATGGGATCTATAAATGTATACTTTATCCAGCCTTTGTCTTGGAATTCTCACTGAAAATTAGTCATCAACTTTTTGATTTTTAAATCGTTTTAAGAATAAGATTTTAAGAAGAACTCAATTTTGGATATACATATTAATAGATTTAAGAAAAAGCACATTTAAATGTATAAAATTTCTTTTGCTTTTAAAAATTAGCCACATTTCAATGATATTAGGAATTAATCTTCGAACAAATCGTATACATGTTTAAACTTTTATAAAAATATAATCTTGGGAGTAAATTTTGAGGCTTATGTTTAGAAAAACTTTATAAAATTTAACAAAAAATCAAAATCACTTCATAAAACATTCTTTGAGAATACCCCAATTTGCTTCGGAGTTATAAGCCCCATAAACATTGATAGATTTTAGAAAAGTTTGCTCAAGTTAGAAATCTTTTGAACATTTAAAAAAGCATCTTATAATTTCATACCGAATTCAAGAGCAGGAAATAATACATTTTGTGTGAGGAAAGATTATACGTTGCTTGGGAGCTTCGCGTGACATAAGACCCACGACTTTGGACCACCTAAATGTCTGCTGCGCTGGTGATTCAGTGATTTCTTGGCTGGGCGTTGGTGGCGGTGCGATGAATAGCAGCAGAGAGCGGCAAAGGGGGGTTGAAAAAAAAAAAGTATATTAAGCGGGCAAATAACGTTCGTTTTCCTCCTCTCTTCTTCCAGTTTATGCTAATGTATAACTACAGGATTCTGTTGAACACAAACGCCCACCATGGGCGACGACGAGGAGGCATCACTGCTGCTGGCTCCGGTGGCCGAGTTGCTGCCGCCGCCGCCGCCGCCGCCGCCCACCCCCGCACTTTGTGAGATGCCCCCCTGCTGCGAGGCGGGTCCGCTGCCGATGTGCCGCCTCTGGCCAACGACGCCCACTCCCGCTGGCCCCCCTAGCCCGCCTAATCCGCCTCCTCCCCCGATGCCGTGGAGGAGGATGACGAGGATGAGGGCGGCAACGGCAGCGGCATTGGCAGTGGCATGGGCAGGGGCATGGACATGGGCAGTGGCAGCGGCAGCGGCAGTGGCGGCAATGGCAGCGGCAACTCACTCAGCGAGGCGGGCGCCGTTCCATAGAGTGTTCCGGCGGGCTGAGATGGATAGAGATAGGCGGCAGCCGAGGGCGGTACCGGATTCGGTCCGGGATTGCCGCCAATGCCACCGCCGCCGCCTCCGCCCGCCCCCTGACCACCGCCGCCCGCCGCCGAGGCGCTGATCACACTCGAGTCGGTCATCATGAGGTGCGAGGCGGCAGCCGCTGCTGCCGCCGCCGCCGCGGCCACCGAGGAAGTGGACATGTTGCCGTAGTAGGGCATCGAGCTGGGCGCATAGCTGTTCGGCGGTTGCAGCTGCAGGATCGCCGGCACTCGCATCCTACCGTGGCCATTGTTCGGCGGCGGTGGCGGCATCTGCGGCGGATCACAGTCCATGGCGTGCGGATAGCTGATGCTGTTGTGGTTGCTGCTGCTGATGTTGCTGATGTTGCTGTTGTGGTGTCCCACCACCATGTTGCCGCCGTACAGGCGATTGTGTCGCTGGTTGCTGTTGCTGCTGCTGTTGCTGCTGCCAATGTTGCTGCTGCCAATGTTGCTGTTGCCGGGACTGATGTGGTTGAGGCTGCCCAAACTGTTGCTGCTGTGATGGCTGTTGGCCAGCGAGGGCGGCGCATGGGCGGTGGGCTGCAGGCTCAAAGCGGAGAAGTTGTTCATCGCGTTGGCCGCCGCCGAATGCATTAGCAGACCTGCAAAACCAAAACAAATTTAGAAACTTTTAGATACAGTTTACACTCTTCAATAGTCTCTGACCAAAACCACATTTCAGATAGCCATCCTTGGAAAACACTAAGCTACTTTGACTTGTAACTTAATAAAATATCTGAGATTTCCGACACACCACTAACGAAAATGTAACAAAAAGCATTTTATTAATTCATCCATAATTCTTTGTCAAATGAAAATAATATTGTTATCAAAATAATATTGTAAACAAGCGGAAGGCCATAACTGCTTAGGATATTAGTTAGCTTTTAGTTTTAAGCCTTAGCTTTATATAAACAAAATCTGGAGTTTCTTGTAAATATAAAACAAAATACTAAGCTTCTTTTTTAGCAAAAGATTTCTATCTCTGAAGATTTGACCTTCGGTTGATCTATTTTTTTGAATGTTCTACATTTAACTCCTTATCAATGGTAAATTCCTAAGCAAATTTTTAAAAAGTTAAGTTAGGGATCAAAGTTCCTTAGAGTTTTCCATGGATTACAAGTAACAACCCACAATTAAAGTTTTATAGCCCACTTATTTTTTTGTTGATTATATCATAAGTTTTTATTGAAGATTTTTTTTTCACTTTTTTTTTTTAATTTTTGTCTTTCGCTTTGGTTTGCTTTAGTTTTTTTTATGAATTCCTTTTTCAGGGTTTTGCTTTGTTTTGGTAAAGTTTCCATTTCGGTTTCATCAATCGTTAATAAATTATCTCGTACTTATTTAACTTAAACCATCAGCTGTTGTATGTTTATATTATATAAATGCCACATATGTTGCATGTCCATATGTGTGTCGGTCTGTTGGTTTTTGTGTGTGTATGTGAGTGCTTTTCGTGTTTAGTTTTAAATTTGGTTTGAATTTTAGTTTTTTTGTTTATCATATTCTTGCAATACTGTTTTGTAAAAAAAAATGCATTATGGTCTCCCCGATTTTCCCTCTCTATTTTTCGCTATTGCACTTTTTTTTTTTGCTTTCGTTTCCGCTTTCGTTCCAAAATGCAACCCTGCTCGAATAACAATCGGTTATGGTATCGTTATCGTTGCAGTTATCGTTATTATTGCATATATTCTTCATCTTATGTTTTTGCTTGCGGGTGTATGTGTGTGTTTATGTATGAGGATTGGATTTTTAAACTTATTCGATTTATTACTCTCGCCTTTCGGGTTTTAGTATTTTACACAAGTTTCGTTAAGTGTCTCTCTGGTTGCTGTTAAATTCTTGTATCATGGATCATTTTCTTTCGGGGCTAACCTCTAATTTTAATTAATATTTACTTTTATATGTATTTCGTATCCGTTTGTCTGTCTGCGTTCTTGTTTGTGTCTAATAAAATTAATTGAGTTTTCCGCATAATTACTTGTAAGTGTTATATATATGTATGTTAATTTATTAAATGCTAAAGTTCATCTCTTTAGTAAGTACTGATTTAATTTGTTATGCTTGCTATACGAATTCGTTTGTTTTATTATTTATTTTTTTTTTTTTGTGGTTTTACTAATCGCATCATCCTTTATTTGTTTTTTTTTCTTCTATTTTTACATGCCTACGGTTTTATACTTTTTACAAACTATGATTTGTGTTTGGTTTTTAACTCGTATGCCGCTTATTTGCGCTCTATCGATAATTATCGCTTTGTTTATCGGTTATCGCTTATCAATCGTTCCAATTAAAACTGGTATATATCTATATATATGTATAAATATTTACCGCTGCTTTTTTCTGAGTGTTAGTTTTTTTTATTTAACAAATATGCCTGTTTTCTTTTTATTTGTAACAAGGCCCGAACTTTTTGAAGATTGCGGCAATGGAAAGGTTTTAGAGGGATAAATATTTTTGCGGTTTTTTTATCACAAAAGAAAGCGGCCATCGCTTGCCTGCTCGCTCCCCTTCTTCTCTGAGGTTCCGTTACACCAAATCCCTGTAAATTCCCAATAGAGAAAGAAAGAGAGCGAGAAAGCCACTGTTAAGTTAACCCTTTAATGCCTCTAAAGTGTTTCAGATAAGGGGTCGTAAGAACAAAAGTGGTCAATACATTTTCTGGGGGTTAATATAACTTTGAATTTTAAAACAACATTTAAATCATTTGATTTCAGTAGAATTCATTATCGATTTTTGTGTTACCAAGTTAGCTCTCAAGACTATTTTACTGCATACAATTTAAAAACAAAAATTAAAAGCCACTTTATAACTTGCTGTTACCACACTTTATCCGAAGGCATTATAAAGTTTTAGATTAAGGAAACAAAAAAAAAATGGATGTGTTTCTATGTTACAACTGGTTTTTTTCCCATTAAGTTCACTTTTTATTACTTGACTTTTGTTTATGTATCTTGTTTTACCAAACGACATCATTTCTTTACCACTTTTTTGCTTGTGAATTTTGTTTCGTTTTTACATATCTACGATTTTTGTTTTTGTGTTATACTTTTTACAAACTATGATTTGTGTTTCGTATTTCGCATATTTCACTGAGATCCATTATCGCTTTTCCAAATGTTTAATTATCGTTTTTCGCTCTAATTTCTTTTCGAAATGTATACAGCAGAGCAGGTCGTTTATTTCGACAGGAGAAACTCTGAGAAATCCATAGAAATTTGAATGTTTGGATTACGATTCCTTATGTTTATTAAAATGTATCTTTGTAAGTGCTTTGAACCAATGGGAGTACCACGAAAATGTGTAATGATTTAAAGTACCTTCTTAAAAAAGATATTTAGTGAATTTAAATTTGAATGAATAAACTTACAAATAAGCAAATAATAAATTCCAAAGTTTTTAGAGGTAACTTATCGCTGTCTGACACATTTAGAATTCTTAGGAGGCGATTTAATAATATCACTAATTATTTTCGTGAAACCCTGGTCTTTTTTATAAAATTATAAATGGCAAAAACAAATTTCTTGTGAGGTGTCTGTAAGTATTTTGTAAAACATAACACCTTTGACATATACAAGAAGAATTCTTAAATATACCTTTAGAACAGTGGTCGGCACTAGAGCTGAGTTGCTCATGAATGAGTGAACTTAAAAGAGTGAGTGAACTGAACATGTTTACAATTATTCGTCTTTTTTTGCTCACTTGTTCAGTGGTTCAGTTTTCCTCACTTTAACATTTTTAACATTTCTAGAAAGTTTTTTTTTCCCGTCTTTAAGGGGCCAGAAGCGGCACTATTTTTTAAAATACATATGTATTCCTACGAGATTCCCCGCAGCTCGCTGTTTTCTCTCAGTGTGATTTAACTGGTATTTCCGTTTTACTTATGCATATGTATATAAAGTTGTATGTATATGTATGGCAGTCATTAAGAAAGTCGTTAAGGATTCCTCTTACAACATATGTATCCTCTCTTATGTATTCGCAAACTCTTCGTACATTTTTATGAACCTAAATGCTTAGACTTAATTAATTCTTTATTCTCGACTTAGTTTAAGTTGCAAACACTTTAAACACTTAACACACGATTGCATTTTCAACCGAGCGTTTAAAATGCGTGAGCATATTACAAATTACATATTATATTCTAACAAAAAAAAAAGAACATGGTTTTTGGAATTTAAGGAAGGCGCCACATTATTCTTATAGGAAAAAAAAAAACATATCTTTTTTTTGTTTGTTTTTGAGTGACTATATAGGGGGGGCAGAGACAGGGAGAGGGAGAGGGACAGGGAGAAAGTCGTGAAAGAGACAGACCGTGAGTGTGTGTGACAGAGAGGCATGACTATTTACAAAACGCCGGAGCTGTTAGATAATGGATAATGTAACATGGCCAGCGGATAACCGGGCTGCTAATGTGGATGTGGCTCGCACGTCGTGTATTGCTGGTTACTGCTGTGGTATCCTTGAAGTTGCAACAACTGCAATCGATGTTGCTGCTGCTACTGCTGTTGCGGATGTTGCTGTTGTTGCTGCTGCTGCTACTGCTGCTGCTGCTGCTGATGTTGCGGATGTTGCTGCTGCTGTTGCCGGTCATCGGCGATCATCTGCGGCCGCCATTCAAATTCAGCAATGCATTATATTTCAATTATATTTTTGTTCGCGATCGAGCAGTTCGAATAGAAAAAGAAAGGAATTGATCTTTATATTTGGGAGCACAATCGATTTACGCTCTTGCATTGCTACTTATCACAAACTTTCGCTTCGTACAACTAATTAAGCGCCGAACTAAAGATAAAACGAAACACTTCTTACATGTACGGGTGACTAGAGCAACTAAATGGTAATCAAGTATCAACTAAAAACGTAAAATGCCTAATGCAAACACAATATGTCTTAAGTACAATTTTGATCACAGCTAATAACTAAATGGCACACACACAAAACACACACGAATTTCAACAAGCGAAGACTGCGAAAGTGTTAACACAGCACAGTCTCCCACTCGTTGCAAACTACAACATATATGTAACTCGGAGCTTTTGCCTCAAATCAGCATTAGCTCTCGAAAAAATTATAATCATAATCAACAAACACAAAATTCTATGGGACAGCAGCTACAAGCTTGGGCGGCTTTATCGGTTTTACGGCCCAGATTCTTGGATGCCCAACGTAATATATGGCCTATTCTCAATTTTCCCAGTGAATGTAAACTGTCTATCATTCTCTAAAATTGATTATCCCGTGTAATAGCTACTTTTCATTATTCTAAATGTGGTATTTACATTAAATAGTTAGAGGTTTGTAATTGAATTGTATAAATTTTAGGAAATGTGATAACTTTTTTCTAAGTTCAATGTGTACTCACTTGGCTAAAGGTTAAAAAAAAGTATACCACTAAAGTCTCGAATAAGAACAGTGCTTAGCTTCAACATTTTGTTATTCATTAGCGTTACAAAGTACTAGACTGTTTAATATTTCTTTTATTTAACACTAAGAGAAAACAAAAAAGTATATCGGATTTTTGCTAGAAAGTCAATTGAAGAACCTATGATTTTGCATATTTCGTCCGCCTTAAATGGCGGTGAAAGTCTCTTTAGTTTAATCCTTGATATTCTTCTACCTTAGTTTCCTCTCAATTCGAACCAAAAATAGACCACAGATTACGGGAAGCATCTTCGATTTAAACCCTTCTGTTTGAGTGCCATAAAATCGAGCCGCTTGCCAAGCTTTGGGGAATTGTTTCTAGGTGGGCTCCACTACTACTCACCATGACACTGGGCATCCGACGCACCGCCAGGACCCGCGAGTGGTGGCAGCGGCAGGGGCAACGCCAGGGGCAGGGGCAGGGGCAATGGCATCGCCTGCTGCTGCTGCTGCGCCGCAGATGAGCCTGCGCCGACGCTCGATCCCGAACCGGATGAGCCCGTGGCCGTGGCCGCTGCTGTCGCCGCCGTCGGAGCCGCTGCACTGGATGAGGAGACCGCTCCGCTACTGCTGCCGCCCGTTCCGAGGCCACCGACGCCACCGCCGCCTCCGCCTCCTCCGCCACTTGATCCGCCACCTGCGCCGCTGGATCCAGAGCCACCGGCACCAGCGTTCGCAGTGGCACCCGCACCGCTCGTATTGGTCGCCTCGTCGGCCGTGCGCTTGAAGAAGTTGTGCTGCAGGGCATAGTAGGGCGTGACCCGGGTCTTGGGGTCAAAGTCCAGCATGCGCAGGATCAGATCCTTGAACTTGAGATAGTCGGAGACGGAGTGACCGGGCTCATCCAGACGCCTGCCCCCTGGTCCGCCTGTCTCCACGCCCAGTATGTCGTGAAGTTTGCGCGATCCCGGCGGCTTGTACTTCCTTCCATTCTGATTCTTCTTCAGCACATAGGAGCCATCGGCCACGATCTTGTCGAAGAACTTGCGGGTCTTGTGCGCCTGATCGAGCAGATACTTGGGCGGCATGCCCAGCACCTCGACGATCTTGTTCATCTGGTCAACCTCGTTGCAGCCGGAGAAGAGCGGCTCGCCGGTGTGCATCTCCACCAGGATGCAGCCCAGCGACCACATGTCGATGGCCAGATCATACTGGATGCCCAGCAGCACCTCCGGCGAGCGGTAGAAGCGCGACTGTATATAGTGGTAGATCTAAATGGGGGATGGGGGATGGGGGATGGGGGATGGTATCAGTATCATTTATAATTTAATAGGATTGGACATGGACATGGACAAACACTTACCCGCTGTCCCAGCTGGCAGGAGCTGCCAAAGTCAACGATCTTGATCGCCGAGCGCTTCGGGTTGCACAGCAGGATGTTCTCGGGCTTCAAATCACAGTGAATTATGTTCAGTTCGGGGGTGCTGAGGAAGAGCAGTGCCGTGCAGAGCTGCTGGGCGAACTTGCGCGTGAGGTTCAGGGAAACGCCCCGGAAGTTGGTGTTCCGCAGCAGGTCGTACAGGTTGTATGAGAGCAGCTCGAACACCAGGCACAGGTGGTTGCGCCACATGAAGTGCCGCTTGAGCTTAACTGTGGATCGAAAAGATGGCGGTGCAATGGATTTAATATTGCATTCGTATTCCTTTTCCAAGTGATCAACTTTCTTTCAAATATTTTGCTGAGCTTAACTTTTCAAATGAAATTTTTGTTTCCTGGGGTTTTTGATTTAAGTGAGTGAGTATAAGACTTGATAACTCACACTCACTTGAATCAAAATTAACAAGAAAATATTCATAGCTTTTTTGATTTAGATGAGTATCAGATTTAAAGATAAAACGTTACAAAATATATGATTTGAATAATATTATTAATTAATTTTCTTTAAAAAGGGACTTTTTTGGTTGCTTTTACAGCACTTAAAATGTTGTTTAACTCAGCCAAGATAAGAATACTTTTGTAAAACGTTGATACGTAAATGTATCAGAAACTTTTTGCAAGTTTGAAAGTTGTAACTTAAGGAAAAGAATTCAGCATCATTTACGTACCGATGTAGTATTTATTTTCGGCATCCGCCCGGTTCATCATCTCAAGCAGCTTGACCTCAATCTGTGCCTGGTTTAGGAACGGTTTCTTATTCTTAATTATCTTGATCGCCACGTGGCACTGTTCCTCGTGGTCGTAGGCCTTCACCACCTGACCAAAACTGCCCTTGCCTGTGGGATCGAAGCGACATTTCAATAGGTCAACACATAAATAGGAAAATATTTGATTGCCACTCACCGATCAGCGAGTCGATTTCATAGCGATCCAAAAACTTTTCGCCATTCTTGATTATATAGTCGTGATTATCGTCGTCATAACCGTCGTTATACAGTTTTCGCTCCTTTTTGTTGGACGAATCGTCGTCGCCTTGCGTCTGCTGGGCACGACGTTTCTTTTTCGCATAGTAAACCTGGAGTTCAAAAAATAATAAACATTAGTTCTTGACAATTAATCAGAGGAAAGCGTTATATACTTTTTTTTTTCAAAATAGAAAACTATCTTTTGGTTTGGACAAATTTATAGCACATTTATAGCACATTCTTCAATTTAAAATTAACTAAATACACATTTTATTCAAAAGAAAATCCATCGTAAGTAATCAAAATATTTTCTTTGTGAAACACTATGTTTATTATTTAGCTAATAATATATAAATATATTTGATTTTTGTAAGATAGCTGCAGGGATTAACGCCACCTGGCGTCGAGTAGCGTGGCTTGAAAGCCATAACGCCCCCTGCTTGTGATAAGCGTAACTACACTCAAAAAATCGATCGATGTCAATCGATAGTTACCAAAAATGCCTAAACTATATTTTTAATTTCAAATCTTCTTGAAACGTTACAAAAAAAAAAATTGAAAATGCTACAAACTGAGGGAGTTAATGTTAATTGAATTTTATTGGCCAGCTGGAAGTTATCCCGTTACTTCCACTTCATCAACGACAAATGTAAACACAAAATGGGGAAAGTGGAAAAATTCCGAAAATGAGAGACAAAACCGGCAAATAAAAAAAAAAAATAATGAAAGAGGGCGACGCCAAACCGAAAACAAAGCAGAGTAATATGAGATGAAATTTTCTCTCTTTCGGTGCTCTCTCCAGCTCTCTTTCATTCTCACGCTCCCTTTTACTTAAGGGGGGGAAAAGGTGGCAGCTTGGCGAAAAAAGTTGTTGCTAACGCGGCAAGCTGACGGTGGAGCAAGCGAGATAGGGCCACAGTGGGAGAGATAAAAATATAAAGAAGCAGAGAGAGAGAGAGAGATAGAGAGAGAGGAAGAGCCCCACTCTCTTAAATCGAAAACTGTAGCATACAAAACGGCAGCGAAAAGGCATTTGCAATATTACGGCATCTCTAACGGCACAAAATGCCAACTGCATATGTAACAGTAACGTCTGTCAAAAACACTCCAGCCTGCTCTAGAGCACCTGTCAAATTCAAATACCTGCAACCAACCGCAACGCCAGCTGTCAATCGGTTGACTGCAAAGCTCTTATTTACCAACATCAATATGTTTGACTTGCAAGCGTGATTGTTAATATTTCAATATTGTTTTTGACTTTGCGTTATGGGTTTTCTTGGAAAGGTTAATGTAATTTTAAATTTGGTGGAATTCTGATTGTCAATAAAAGAAAAAAACAAATAAAACGACGTATTTAAAACAAGATATATAATATAAACATTTCTATATGTTCTCCTTTAAAAAATCAGGACCATCCCTCTACAACATGTTTTGTGTCTAAACTTTCAAGTGGAATTTTGTGTAACATACATACATACATCGAAATCTTATTGATTCAGTCAAAAACTTGCGTGCAACTCGAATTCCTTCGAGCAGCCTGAAATATTAACATTATAATGGGGCATAGGACAATCACCCCGCCCCCGCAAGGCGAATAATCACCGATTTAGGTCGGCGGCATTTCGTCATAACGTCATTTGACAGTTTTCATAAGAGCCATTTAGAACTTGGCAGGAAAACCGAGACAGTTGCGTGTGGCTGGCTTTCTCTGCTTATTTATCCTCTTGCTATTTTCTGACTGTTGTCAACCGAGGCGGCAGACGACGTCAATCGAAGTCAACTGCGAACGGGCGAGGGTGGTGTGGGTGGTGTGGGATTGGGAATTGACCCCCTCAAGCGGGTCAAGGACAAACGTATCTTTAGCTCAGCTCAACGCCACAAATATCCGCTGTCAGCAGATAGTCAGACAACCACAAGACAAAAAAACCACCGACAAAATTCCGATCGTCATAAGAGCGTGACAAAATAAAAAAAAAAATACGGGATAGATGCCAAGGTTTCTTGCTCATAGAAAAACATTAGTGTTTGTCCGTTTACAAGTTCAATTTGTATTTAAATTATTAAGTTATCATTGTTATACAAAAAAAAAAAAAGTCTATGATTTTACCAGTATTATATGTTTAATAATTACTAAATTTTTTTTAAAGAATATTACAAAGATTAATATCACATTTAAGAAGACGATAATAACCATTTTGATGATAGGCTTGGATTAAAAAAAATACTTGACAAAACGGAGTATTTATGAGCTTTATGACTTAATTATTAATATTTTTGGTTGTGAGGGTGCTTTGGTTAAAGGTTTTTTTGGGGCTCACACTCACCTCGTTGATGTGCTTGTAGGTCTTTATCAGATCGACGCTCAGCTTGCGCAAAGGTCCCAAAGCGGGATCCCGAAAGTGGGTGGGAATGCGGGCCTGCATGGCGCGCACCTCCGACGAAGACGAGGGACTAGAGTGCTGCGAAATCAAATAGAAAATTTTAGAATTAATATTAACTAAAAATATTTACGTAAAGGTTAACTGGTACAGTGGCTGCTGGTTTACAATTCCTAAACAAGATCTATTTATATATTATATTATAATTTATATATATTATTTTATGAAAAGGTAGGTTGTTAGGTGTTGAAGGTTCTCCATTGTTTGAAAATGATGTTAGACTTAAAAACAATTTAAGCTTTTTAAGGGTTCGAACATTCCTTTTATTTTGATTTAATACATTAACTTTAATTTTGTTTGTAATAAACCAAAAAATTCTTTGTTAAGCCTCACAAATTATGAATCATTTATGTCATGAGTCATAATTGCCTCACTTGCTTAAGGTAAAACCAGTTGTATGTAGGTAAGCCTTTCTTTTATATTTTCCACTTACTTTAATGTGGGTATTAACCTTTCTAATTGCAACTCATAATTTAACTGGAGCATGGGAAAAGTTCTCTGAAAGAGCGTTTATAACTTTAGCACGGTTTGCCCTTCTAAATTTCTGGACTAACACAAAACGTATTTACTCTTTCTAAACTTATTCGTTTTTTTTTTATACATTTCATAATAATAATATTATTCCATGAGGTTATTCATTTTTAAATATTATGGAAATTAATTTATGTTAAATAGCAAACAACTGAATAAGCATACTTCAACTCTTTCTTTTAGTTTTTGAAGTACTCTTTTGTAAAATGATTTGAGATCTTGTTTTGGGAATACTTATTTGATATAGTCCTCGTGTTTACTCACATGGTGCATGACATCCCGGTGCGTGGCAGGCAGATCCTCTTCGACGACGATGCGACCGTATAGGGGGGCGTGGCGCTGTCTTCCACCCCCGCTCCCGCTGCCCTGGGCTGCGTCGACGGCAACGCTGCCTCCGCTGGACACATAAGCGGATACTAGAGCGAATGAGAGGAAAGATATTAATCAGACATCGGCTGAATATTATACACATGTCTTTGCTGTATTTCTGTATTTGTTTGTTGCTTTGCTTTTCGTGCTGGTTCATTGACCGGATCGCTCGGACACCGCTCTTCTGCAGAATGCACCTGTTTTCTCGCACACCTGACTACGTCAGCGTCGAGAGTTGCCAAAACGATGGTAAACGCAAAAGGGGAGGGATGAGATGATATGATATGCACTGGGGTTAAAACAATACAAGTTCCCAATATTTGCAACTTATACTCCTTGGATAACTGAATCAACCTTTACTATATAAATTAAACTTTTAAAATATATACATTTTAAATTTCCCGTTTAAGTGTACAAAAAAAAAAAACAAATAAGAAACAAGTCAATCAAATAAATGTTTTTATGAACGTTATCACAATATACAAATCTGAAATAGATTTACAAGTAACTTAGTAAAAATTATTCTTGAAAAAAAGTTTCGAGTGATGTAAGTCAAATTGAGATTTATAAAAGCTATTTAAGATTGTGAACAAGTCAACGTACGTTAAGTTTAATCATACCTACTATTATAATTTGATTGAAGATTAGATTATATTCTTAACTTTCTTTTTTAAGAACAATATTCTCATTATTATTCTTTTTCCTCTGTGCAGAGGCAGTCAGTAGAAGAAGAGAAGTCGCCATAGAAGATAGAAGCTTTACCTTAAATTTAGAACCAGACGGAACTAAAATTATTACACAATATGCAGGCGCACATACATAATTCTGCCGTTTCTTGCTTCTATTTTACAAAGTTTCTGTGACCATTTCACTTGCTCACTTTTTGTTTTGCTTTTAGCTTGGCTTGTGCAATAAAAATAGCACCAAACGTTATAAACAAGACACCGAAAAACACGGCAAAGGGGTTGAGGAGGGTAACAGAAAAACCTGCAAGACCCAGCAGTTGCGTTTAATGTTAAATGATATCCTAATTCATCATATTTTTATTAACAGAAACCTGATTTGTATAAGCATTACAATTTTAAAGATTAGGGCACAAAAAAAATTATTCAAAAGGAAAATACACTAAATTAGAAAGGAAATAAAAGTGACAAAAATGTAACTTTAGTTTTATATTTAATATTGGCAAGAAAGTAATTCATTTTTTGAGAAAGGTAATATTTAAAAAGAAATGACAAATAAACATATAAATGTCATTGTGTTTTGTGTGTATATATGTATAATATTGAACACTACACCCCCGGTGAAAATTATTGAGACTTTATAAACATTGTCTATAAACCTGTTTAATTGATTTTATAGTTTGTTTTTTGAATTGTGGCAATTGCTTTGTTTATAAACATAGACGTCATACTAAGAAAAGATTTAAAAACAAATTTTAATCAGTTGACATAAACGTGACACTCAAATAAGGTTTTAGAGCCTTAAACCTCAAATGCATCTTTCTAGTTATTAACAACCCATATAGAAGAAAAACTTTCAGCTTACAAGCAAAAGGCAGTGGTCGTTCTACTTCATTCCCCGATGATCCCTGAACCACCAACAGATTGCCATCGACACGATCCACATCCACATCCACATCCACTGTGTTCCAAACACTTTTGGGCTGGAATTTTGAGATGATTTGATGGCCATCGCCATCGCCATCGCCATCACCGTCCGCCTCCTGATTGCCATTTGTTGGCCAATTTTTGACACGATGCTGGCAGCCAATTTGCGCCAAATAATTGATGTAATGAGGCGGATGATGGTGGTTGTGATGGCTGTGATGATGGTGGTTCAAGCTGTCACTGCCACTGCTACTATAACTTCCACCAGGTGGACCGACGACGAATGGCGCCCAATTGTTGGTGGCCTTGTCAACCGCATCGCCGCCGTTCGTTGACTGCCAATAAAGCAAAGCCGCCGACATATCTCGTCTTTTTGTCACTTTTACTCGCACTCGCACTCGCACTCGGACTCGCACTTCCTGCTTCCTCTTTGAGTTTATCTATATTTTATATTTCCCTTGTTTGTTTGTATTATATGAATTCATTAATTGACTGTGCTATAGATCCATTTCCCTGGCTTTGAAAGCGCGATCTGTGTCGCGTGAAAATTCAGCGCAAACTGACGCAGTTTTTTTTCCCTAGCCCCAAAGTTTTGCCACTCGTCGTTTTGTCGTCTGTTTTATTTATACGGAACACTGTTTTCTGTTGCTGGTTCTGGCTGCTTTTTTTTTGTTTTGCATTTTTTTTTTTTTGCTGCATTTCTGCGGATCACACGAACGAACGAGCGATAGCGATTGCAATGATCATCACGATCTCGAGGTGATAATGATAATGAAGATGTAGGGGATGCCCGGCGATATGGCATCGAAATTAGTTTTGCTCACAACAGAGTTTTTTTCAGTGTTGCACAATCTTAGTTGAGGGCCAAATACTTGGTAGAACTTAAACAATCCCAACGAAAATAAATTAAATTCTGATAATAGCCACAATCTATTGCCAACACTTTTAGTTTAAACGTCTCTTTTTTAGTGTTGAGAAACGGTGTTGGTTTAGTAATTCAAGTATACGAGAAAGAAATCACCGGAAGACTTTGACCACGGTCTTACTTCCCGATTAATTGCTGATCGTAAACAAATAATTCATTCTATTCCTGTTGCCTTATGGGTTTTCCGGCAGTTTTCGTTGGTCAAGAGAGCACATCTGGGTTTTTGTTTCTTATCGCTGCTGTTTTTGGAAGTAAAAGGGGAGTTTCGCTGTTTATAGATAATGGAATTTCAATAATGGCATGTTGCGAAGTGAAGTGGGTTGCGGGTGGGAAAGTGTTCGCACTTGTCTCGTGCGGGTAGAGATACAGATAAATTCATTTCTTTGTTTCGGCTTTTGCGTCGTCGTCAAGTCAGGGAAATCAAAACAAAACAAAGCAAACGAAATGTGAAATTAAAATAAAATGTAATTAACCCCAGCTAAAAAGTGTGTGCATAATACAGTGCGTTACAAAATTGTATAACTGATTGAGTTCATGTAATAAGATGTAATGTATAAAACAATACATAACATAGCGTACCAAAAAATTTCAATTATATTATGTGTATGGGGGGTAATAAATAAACTACAGGCAAAACAATAAATAAAGTATATTTTTTTTGTATTTAGTTGTTGTTTTTCATTATTTTATGATTTTTCATGCATTTTGTTTTTGCTTTCTTGGCCAAGGGTGTACCCACCAAAAATATATCAAGAGTATAATTAACATTAAATAATTTTTACTTTACTATGTAATTCATTTGATAGTATTTTGTTATTTCTTTTCTGACGTATTAAACAGTAACGTTTCATATTAAAATTGTAATACAAATATTTTCATATTCGTTATGTATTTTGTTATCGTTTCTTCAGGCCAATTTAATAGTAAAATTATATTTTACAAATTGTTAAAAAATATTTTAATAAGTGTTAAGCTCACAAGTGGCATTCGTCCCAGCTTGCAAACTCGTGGTTCAGCGGGTAAGACGCTTGACCAGAAATCTGAGCAACGCAAGTTCGAATCTTAAGACGGGATGTTATTTTTGTCCTTTTTTTTTGTATTAGACTTAACTGAAAGAATGATTCTTTACATCGTGGTAAACGTGCATGGAAATTTGGGGCATATATTTTAATTGTCTACGCTTTGCTTAACATGTCTGGTCATGAAACAGTCACTAATTTAGAGACAAGCAAATATAGGGCGGGACCAGTGCTCGTTTCACAAACTATAATATTTATGGTTGTAGAGCCAACATACCATTTTTTGGTGGTCCCACTATTTAATAGTAATGCCAACTATTTTTTGTGTAATTAACTATTTTGTGAAAAATGACCATTTCATAGCAAATTAAAAATTTGTCCTAGGTTGGGACATATGTAGTTTTACATAATTTTTTTTTTTTTATGTGTGTACCATGAATTGAAAGAAAAAGCAAACACACAAAATAATATAATTGATGTACAAGAACCACTTTAAAGTTATGTAAAATTATACATTAACATACGTCAGATTTTTTGGAAGACTTTTTCCGAACCAATTATAAAATTATTAGCAAATATACATAAATTGAACGCTTGCCAATCGATGGAAGACTTGAATAATAAATGAATTTGGGTCCCCCCCCAAAAAAGAAGGAGGTGCAAGATGAGGAGGAGGAAAGTGAACAGCAAATTTATTTATAGGGATCCGATCCTCCGTCTCTAATGTAGGACTTCCCCCCTTTCCGATGTTTCGATGTCTGTCGCGTCTCGACCGAAAATAAAAATAGTTGACGACATTTTGCGTTCGTTCCTCGTCTTTTGGCCACTTGCATTTTGGCCCAGGAATGGGATCGGGGCATTACAAACAATCTCCATCGATAATTACATTTGGGAGGGGGACTATGACGATGACGATGGAATCCGGAGCAAGTGAGTCACGACCCGTTGGCGCCAAGCTAATCAGATACAAAAGTCCCGGTCGCCGTAACCCCACATATTTGACAAGTAATGGGGAAGTGCCACAGAGTCCCGGGTTTTCGAAATAGTACGAATAGAGGCAAATAGAGACGGAGACAGTTGAGTGATAAGCAAACAGTTGACATAATATTTGCTGGCTGAATGGAGTGACATTGTTGCATTTCTCAGCGGGTGGGAACCGGAATTAGCCGCTAAAATACCCCTGTCCGCCCCTTTAAAATTCCACCTTATATTGCCCAAATCCCCGTCTATAAATACGAGTTGATTGCAGGTAATGATTGTAGCTCTTGCACTGCAATTATAACTAGTAATGGTTTTTTAAAAAGTCAATAACACCCTACCATTAACACTGTAAAATTGTGTCGTCAGCCAACACCCTTTTTCTTGAGAAAGTCACGACTATTTACAGGGTGGAAACTTTAGTTTGATTTATTGCCCCAAGTTACAGATAAAAGGCTTGTTCTTAAAAACATTGGGCAAAATATCTCGGAATTCTGACTGTTTTCGTGATTTTCAATTTGATTCAAATGTTTAAACATTAAAAAATTAAGGTTTTTGTTAAACAACGTAAGATTAGAAATTCAAGAAAATCTTATTATACAAATATACTCTGCAATAACATAAATGTTGTGTGTTTTTATGACTTAAATTAGTTTGAAAAGCTAATAATTATTTATAAGTTTCTCACGAGATTTTAAAGCAATGATCAATTAACTTGTACTCGTGTATTTTTAAATATTTTTATAAACATTATTAAAAGTCTATAAAACTATAAATTATAAGTTCTTAAACAGCTGTTAAAATACAAAAATGCACAAACATGTTGGTGGAAATTTTTTGTTATGGTCTTTGGACAGCGGTACTCAGGCTGCAAAAGAAAAATTCTTAAAATAATATTTTGAGCTATTGACTATTAACGATATGAATCCGCGAGCCCCTGCTTTGCGTGAAATTCAAAAATGAGTTTTAAAAGTCAAAAGCGCACCAAACCTTTTGGAACAGATGACAAAAATGAAATGTTTATGAAATTTGAGTCCAAGACTTAGGTAGAATGATGAAATAATCGACAGTTTTTTTAGGGGTTCGAGCAATCCGATCTTGAGTTTTTACAAGTGAAATCGAAGAGTACTTACGTTTCTGTTTATTCTTATCCATAACGCCGCCGCTATTCGTATCCTCTAATCTATACATGGAGCTGATGTTTGTTGGTTTTACGCTGATAAATGAATCGTTACTTGGATTTGTTTATTCCTATATTTTACTATATATGTACTTGACATATATATACTTGTGTTTTTATATATATATATAAATATATATATGTGTATATGTATATATATATTGCGTTATTTGTTCATGTGATTTGGATAAATTGAAAATGTATTTTTGTCGGATTTTGGTTTTTTGTGATTTTTTTATTTTATAAATAAATAGTTTTTGTGTATTTTTATTCCTTTCGTTATCCTTTGTGTCGTTGTTGCATTTTATTTTTTTCGTGAGTACCAGTTAATATATAATTATGTATGTGTTATAACCAATAATAATATATATATTTTTTTTCGTATATATTTTTATGCGTCGAATACTTTTTGTTGTTTGTTTTTTTTATTTAAAATTATGAACACAATTAAAGTCTTTTGTTGGATTTGCTTGCCGTTTATTATTTTTTGCAGTGTAATAGTTGAACATTTATGAAACAAACAAAACAAAAACACGTTGGTATGTGTATTTCTCCGTCTCCTCCTGTTGTTGTTATTGCTCTTTCCGTTTATATACCGTTTAGCATTGCAATTACACACACTCCCACACAACGGGAGCGTGTGTGTGTGCTCTAATGAAAACAAAACACACACACACGAACGTACACTCACGCACGAGGGAAATCTGAGAAGAAAGCACGATCTTGCTTTCTACTGCGTTTTCATGAAATAATTATCGATTACTTTGCAATTCCTTATCGATTTGCTCAAGTTAATGTTGCTTTAGTATTATGGTAGTTTTTGACTGCCGCTTTTCTCAACATTTTGCTTAAACATTTTATAAGCACTTTAATTTTCGCTTATTTTTACATTAACATTTATATTTGACATTGGTCAATAATTGTCGCCACGCTTTGTTTACAAAACTGTACTGCTTGCTGCTGATGTGGTTGTAGCTCGCTGGAAGAATAGGAAAACACGTTTGTTTAATTAACTAATTGAATTATAATTATTTATAGATAATATACATATATTGGAGAGCCGGAAAGGGTTTGAAACGTACGGCGCAAATAAAAATAATAAATAAAAACAATCGCGCGCTCTCTGCCTCTGTTAACTGACTGTTAACGGTTTCTCTCTCTTGTGCCGCTCTCTCTCTTTGGCAGGTGAACGAACGACACGCGACGCAAAAAGCATGCGTCTGTGTGCGAGCGAGAGAGCGCGCAAGTTCAACGTGTGGCTTGGCGTTTTTTTTATCGTTTTTTTTTTGCTGCCGGGGCGCCGCCTCTAATACATACACACGCGCCCACCTCTGACACTGCACTCACACACACACAACATGCACACGAGTGACAGCTGTTTCAAGTTCGATTTCGATTTCGATTACTCCTTTTCGACTCTGTTGTCAAGGCGAAAAATTTTATGTGCATTTTAATTACAAATGTTGTTTAACCCCATACAAATACGTGAGCAAATATTTTAATTAGCTAAACAAAAAGCATACTAGCACATTTTTGTTGTTGCGGTGAAAGTAGCGTTTATTAGCGTTTAGAGCTGCGCTGCTTGCTCTTTGTTGTTGCTTTTCTGCGGCACATGTCGGCATTTCGCGATTTTGTTGCCAAGCAAATGGAATTGACCAGCAGACAACTAGGGTTGCCACCACTCTTTCAAATTTTGGCTCTGCCTCTCGACAAATAAAGGGATAACACAAAAAAGGACAAAAATACAGCTACGGTCACAAGCATAGTTATATTTCAACACCTATACAGTAAAATAAATTTAAAACCAAAGCAAATATTTATACATTTTTAGTGGGAGTAAAGTTGCTTTTTTTAATTATGAGCCAACTTCTTTTAATTTTTTTTCAACCTAAGAATTCTATGGAGATAAAGATTTATTGCAATATAAAACTAATACAGCTTAAGCTAGGTGTAACTAATTTGAAAAATGTTTGATCTTTCCATCTTTTACCTGAACCAAGTTTTAATTGCTCTGCTGGGTATTGCACTGTGTTTAAAGAAAATTATTTTAATTATAAATTAATTAACTTATTTAATGATATTTGTATGTAATTACTATTTCATTTAATGAAAGAAAAATAGGCACTATAAATAACCCAGACCTTGAGCCGTCCAAAACACACCAAAATTATGTGACTACTTTAACTCCCCAACTACAACTCCCAATGTACAGACGTGAATGTTTGTGGTTTTTTTTTTTTTTTTTTTTTTTTGCATTTCTGCGGAAAATTATTCACACAATTTACCGGCAAAGCAGAAAAAAACCAGTTTCTTAATCAAAAAAAAAGAAGAAAAGAAGAAAAGTGCAGCCTGTGAATGATTCTCTTCCCGTGAATCAGAAATGTATAAAAACGAATTGAATGCGTCACTCCTCTCTGCAGTTTGTGACTAATAAACAAGTAATTCCCAGCGCGCGGATCTTTGCATGTGGCTAACGTGTGTTAACCCGTTGTTGTCAACTGATCGACCGTCGACCGCTTATCAGTTCATTTGACTTTTCACACTTTCCTGCAATGTCCGGGGAGAAAGCGTTATTTATTTATTATTTTGCAATTATTTTTAGCGTAGGCAGCAGCCACAGTTTTTTGCATGTTTCATCATTTTATTTTGGGGCCAACACGAAATCGACAAAAAGAAACAATAAATAGCTGCAATAACGACACATACCCACGCACTCCTCACACAAAAAAAAAAAAAACAAAATAAACCACACTGAAAGAAACGCGAGCTAATTGTTTTTTTTTTTCGGAGTAGCTGGTAACCCCGTCATCGGGTGGGTGGTCTACAAATATCTCCGAGATCGAGTCTCATTCTACACCCCCAACTTTGGGAAAAAATACTACAAATTCCACGTAAACATTCATACAAATACAGTGCTGATTCGCAAATAAATTCTAGTAGTTTTATGAATTTTCGTTACATAACTAAAAAGTAATATTTTTTAATATTATTTATTTTTGGAAACGTATCAAGGCTGGGTCGTTATAAATATAAATATTGGTTTTGAACAAAATTGCAGAAAATAAGATGTTTATCAATAGGGTTTATGCTCTTGCTGTTTGTGGGTTGGCTGTAACGACCTTCCACTGCAATTTCATTACCTAATTAGATTGAAACCAAATTTTAATTGTTGGCTTTTCGGGTCGAAACTTTCTATGAATTATAAGTTTGAAGTGGGGAACTCCGAATTTTGAGCCAATTTAGCGAATAGCCACTATATTTATGGGGCATAAAAAAATAAAACTTTATGATCAAGCGGCGGCCGTTTGACGTCAGAATCGGTTTGTCTGTCTGTCAGATTGTGCCTATTATACATACGGATAGTGAATATATGTATGTATATGTGTTTGCTTCGGTGCTCGTGCTCTCTTTCTTTTTTCTTCTTTCTTTCTCCTTTCTCCGCTACCCAGCCACTACATCCACCCACCGCAGAAAATAAAGACGGCATGTGGTGACCCAAATCGTTCGTGTGACTTTTTCCATTTGCGCTCGTTTTGTTTAATTCAATTTGTGTGCAAATTAAATGCTGTTACTAAACTAATACGAGAAATAAATCATATTTCAGCAACCAGCGTCTTTCTCTGTGTTTTTTTCGGTTTAATTTTTGAGCAACATGTGGCGACGCCCGAAAAAAAAGTAGTTTTCATTAATATTGCCTACTCACACTTTTACCACCCAGTGTATATATTTGGCTATATGCGTGCTCCAGATTTTCTAGGTGTCTACTAAAAATACCTTGTAGGCGTTTTCCGCTTCTTCTGTATTCATTAGTATCGCTGATTAGCCCAAAAAAAGAACTGAAGGAACTTGGCCAGTGAAAGAGGCAAGAAAATAATACGGCAGCACTTCCATAAGATTTTATATATTAAATAAATTATGTGTACATACATTTGTTTATATTTTTGTATACTTCCATGAAATTAACTTCAAACATAAGTCTTTCAAAACAAAGAAAACTTTAGTCATTTTTGATCAGAATTTTTGAATTGCTCATATAAAAAAAAACATACCTTATTCTTCCACGCGTTTTTTTGAAATCAGCTAATGAATTACGACTGTGAAAAAAAAAAAATGAACGACAACAAAACGGTTTTTGCGCTTTTAAAAGCGTTTTTTCAATGGAAGATTGTGCAAAAAAAGGCGAAGAGTTTATGCTTTCTTTCTTCCCACTCTCCGTACCCCATCACCCTATCCCGCGTCCCACTCGCACCCCTTGGCTAAGTGCGTAGTAAAGAAAGAGAAAGACCGGTAGAGAAGAACCGAAAGCGGAGAAGAGAGGAGAGCGAAGAACGAAGAATTTAAATGCCGCTGGCTGGCAAAGTTTATTTTATTTATTTCTGCCATTGTTGTTGCTGTTTTTTTTTGTTTTTGTTTTTATTTGTTTTTTTTTCCTCGGCTTGGTTCAAAGTTCAATGACCGATTTTGCCTTTGCCGAAACTGAAGCGAAATGAACTGAAATACAAAAAAAATAAGTTAAGTAAAGTGAAGTGAAGTGAGCGGCGCAGTCGCAGAGCTTTGTTGCCTTCTCCCTCCCACACACACGCACACACACACACACACACACACACACACTGAGGCACATGGCCACACACAAGGTCACTTAATAAAGTTGATTTTTGCTCAATACGCAATAGCGCAAAAATGTGCAAATAAAAAATATAAACACTAACAAGTGGCAAAAATACAAGAGAACAAGCGGCAATTAAAATAACCTTTCATGTTTGTAAATTAAAGTTATAAATTGTGGCCGATGTATAATTTAATAATTACTATTAGTTCTTTTTAAATATAAACATTTTAGTTTCAGTTCATTTTTGTTTTTAAAAGCAGATGGTGGTAATTCCCAAATAAATTTGATTTCCCAATAATTAAGTTTACATGTGATATCATTTTGATTTTTTTTATAGCAAATGCAATATTATATTTCTACAAAACATATTTTTTTAATTTTGAGTATGCCTCTGTAAACTTATTGTACAAAACTCGGTTTCATTCTAAATTTCTTTAAGTGCAGCTGTGTGTTTTGTATGGTAATTCAAAACTGCGCATTCATTGATGACGGATGACGTCGCAGCTTTGACGGTGGCATTGAAAATTTAAATTTCACAACCAGACTGCAAGCAACAACAACAATAAAAAAAAAACAGGAAAAAGAATAAGAAAAAGCTACAATTACTTTACTAAATAACAATGGAGACAAATAGCTGGAATGAACTTCAATTAAATAAATATCTCCTTCAGAACAATTTCGTATTTATGTACATTATTGAAATGTTAACTCATTATACATTGGAGGTAGGAAATCTGTATATACTGATGCATTTCATAGCTCTTTTGAATAATGTTTTAAACAACAATAAAGTTGAAATGCTCCTAGCTTATAAATTATTAAACAAAAATGTTAAACACAATAAGTCCTGAGAAAGCACATCTAAAAGCCAACCTATAAAGATTATTAAGTCAATTAAAATTTTGCCTAGGAATTTCAGCTAAAAAGAAAATGATTACTTCTTAGAAAACTTTAAATGTGAATCTTTCCAAGAATAAATATTTATTTGAGGGATTAAGTCTTTCCAATGTTTTGGGAATCAAAGTTTTGGTAATGAAAAAAGAAAAAGACAATTCTTAGCAACAAATCGAAGGGTCTATTTAGTCAAAATAAATAAATTGGTTTATTTGTCCAGTCCAAACCGATTACAACGATATTTACCAATATTTACTGTATCTACAGATCGTTTGCGATGAGTTGGCGTTATTTTTGCCAGCGGGTTTTCCCCGCCTTTAGTTAACTGCACTTATGGTTTCTGTTTTCAGTATTTTTATTTGTTTTGCTGCACTGATTAGAGAGAAAAATAATAATAACCAAAACAAATGTCTTCTCTCTCGCTCGCTGGCAGCACGTGTATGGCAGCTGGTTTGTTTTGATTAAGTGACAGTTGTACCACCCACTTTTTCCCCTTTCTCCCCTTCAGTCACTCTCTCTCTCTCTCTCTCTCTCTGGTCAGCACACGTGTTAGTAAGTTACTTAGCTAGTTAGTTAGTTGGTTGGCTGCGGCGACAGCGTCACAATTGCGCCGCAATTGAGGACTAATAAAATATTCTTGATACGCATTTTACCCGCCAAAAGGGGGAGAAAGGTGTGAAAGCTACTAACTAAGGTGTTAATTACACATTGCTGTGGCACCTATTAATCCTGCAGGAAAAATAGAAAGCGGGGAATGCGATAGGGGAAAATATGAGCAACCTCTTTATTTTTCCCTTAATTAATAAATCGTTATAGGGAAACCAAACTCTTGAAGATACTTTTGAATTGGCGTTATAGAAACAAAATTGTGTTTTAAAGCAAACAATACGATTTTTTTTGATAAATGCGAATTCGAAGGGTTCTATGAGGTAATAAATTTATATATTTTAATACTTTGAAGGGAGTTATTTATGTGAAAACACCATTTATTCCAAAATGGACTTGTTAATTTGAATACATTTTCATTTTTCATCAAATTTAATATATTTTTATAATTTATCATATATATTTCATGAATCTTGAATTATGAATCTTTTTAGAACAGCCACTATGTTATAGCAGGTTTAATGGGTCTCAGCAGTCTGAGCTGATTTATTTTCAAACATCCTCCAGGGAGAAGTTTTTTAAAATAAACCACAATATATGTTTTTTTTTTAGTTCTTTTAGACATTTTTATCAGCTGCTAGGCAGTCTGAGTCGAATCCTTCAAAATTTCGAATCCAAAATGAAGTCATTTCTAGCGTATATCGCACTTATGATATTCCTCCGGATAACGTGTGCCCGCTCGATGAGCTTTGACCTACCCATGTATGGATTCGACACTTATCTGGACAACACCAGCGATGACATGCTCCCGGATGAGGCTAAATGCGATCCGAAGATCAGCGTTCCGGTTACAATGGAGCCCCCGTCCAGCATGAGATCGACCTGCCACCTCAGTTCATCAACGAGTGATAGTTATTGCGGTAATAATGAGATGATCAACACCAACATGAAGGCCACCCACATAGCCCAGAAGGCCGCCGAAGAGGCCAGGGCTGCCAATAATGCCCAGGCGGAGGCGGCCCAGAATGCCTCGCGTAGGGTGAAAATGAAATTGGCTAAAAAGGCGAAGGCCGCCTCTTCTGCCGCCAATGCCGTTTTGGAAGGAAAACAAAACATTGTGGACCAGTACGAAAGGGAAATGCAGGATGCCGAAGAGGTTGTGATACGGGTGACCAATGCCCTGGAGTCCAGTGAAGAGGATGCGGGATGCGCTTGTGCAGCGGTAAAGGCGGCTGAGGCTCAAGCCGCCTCTTTCAGGTATAAGCAAAACTATCCTGCCTAAATATTCAATCGTTACAAATTTCGTAGTAAAACAAAAGCCTTTCCAAAATATCATATCATATATTTAAACTGCCAATCAATATTGACGCCATTTTAAATACCGTTTTGATATCGATCTTTTTCGGCATCTTTTCTGTCAGCGCCCTGGTGAATAGCACAAAGGGCACTTTGGCGGACATTGAGCAACTGATCGAGCAGGCCCACAAAGACCTTGATGAGAAAATCCAAATGTTGGCAGCGGCCAAGGCGCGTGGTGAGCGATTGGCCCGCCAGGTGGCGCAGGCCAAAGTGGAATACGAGCAGGTGAGGGAGTCGGCCTGTCGAGCGGCTAACGACGCCGCTGAGGCCAAGCAAAAGGCTGCTGCAAGCAATTGCGTGCCTCCACCCACAACACCTCCTCCGAGGGCGGCGGGATGTGGCGGTGCCTTCGGCTCCGATAGAGCCAGCTACAACGTCCTCTTGGATCTCTACAGACAGCGACGTCGGGATAAACAGCGAAAGCGGAGCGGGAAGCTCCCCCGACGGGGGTCTCGTGGTCAAGGATAAATTATGTACAAGGGTTTCGATGAACACTCTATATTCTGATACGGATAACCTATTTCCGTTTAAATTTTGTTAATTGTTCGTCATTTACTAAAAAGGCTTAAGATCATAATTTTGTATGTGAAGATTATTTTTTTTTAGCGGTTCCTAAATCCATTTTTCAAACTGCGCTTTAGCAAGGTTTACAGGATATCTCCCACGATCTAATACGGGTTTTTAAAAACATCTAACGTTATATTTTCTATACTTAAGGAGTTTTTCAATCGCATTCATATTTAAAGGATCAGAGAGGATCACATTCCCGTTCAAATGCCTTCTTTATTTTGATAAAGATTCAAAAGTATACGTTCTGATTTTATAATGCTTGCAGATTATATTTTCTTTTTTTGCAAATGCTATAGATAATGTAATCTAATTTTAAAATGCCTTCAGATTACATCAGGTTTGCAGTACACTTCAACGTTCTAAATGTTAATTGTTTCAGCTTGTTTGTTGTACAAAGTACAAAACAATATTTTTGTTAGATTTTGTATGCCAATGGTTATCACAGTGAAAGCCAAAAACATGAATATCCAAGTACTTCAAGGTTCTTCAATCCGAGTGACCACTGCGACTGCTTGAATATGCAATTGTTTACCAACAAATTCGCTTTGCAGTGCCGTAATTCTTTTTAAATAAACAATAACAATGGGGGAAATGTTGTTGTTGGGCGAATGGAATAGACAAAGGAAAACGAGTGCAAGGCCAAAAATTAAACGAAGCACGATCACAAAGAGGAGAAAGAAAAGAGCAGGAGGAGTTGGAGAGTGGAAAACTCATCCCTTTCCGGTCAAAACCAAAAAAAAAACATCTGCCTATGCAGCGCGTCCAGCTGTTTGGGGTTTTTATTTTTTTTTTGTTCGTTTGTTTTTTGACGAAAAATATGTGCGGTTGGTTAAAGTGCAACGGCAGCAGTGTTGCCACCTTTTGCGGCGCTGTTGCGTTGTTGTTGTTTTTATTGCTATTTGGCGTCGCTTCTTGAAACTCGAAACGGAAGAGAAAAGAGCTACAAAAGAGAGAAATAGAGAGGGCGCGCGCATTTCGTAGCAAGAAAGAGAGCGAAAAAAAGAGCAAATCTATCGAATTAGACTAAATTGAAATATAATTTTTAAATCGCCAATTAACACTTTTAGCATATTTAATTATTAAATTACAATAATGAAAAAGAACAATAAAAAGGATACTTTTAATTAAATAAAAACATGAATCATAGTTTTAAAACCTCAATTTACAATATAACAAAACATAGCCTAAAACTTATAAATTGTTTTGTCCAGATCTCAACTTCGCTATATGTATATAAATTGCTCATATTTTTTCCTAAAACGAACTGTATCATTAGATTAATGAACTGCTAATAAAAGTTAAAGAAAACTAGAACTAATTCATTTAAAAAGACTTTCTCAATATACTTTGGGATAACATTGAATCATCAGGGTAAATGCTATTTCTTTGTGTTAAAAACCATTTTCTTTTATATACCCTTATAAAAAACAGTACAAATAAATTCTTGAAAGACGTTTGTTTGCAAAAGCAATGGCGCAGCTTTAAAATTAATTTATATCTTTTTTACGCTTGATTTATATTATGAAAACAAAAAATTAATTAAATTAATCCATGTACAAAATCCAATTGGACTTTAACATGCCGGTTGGTCCAACTGAATTACCTTTGGGCGCCTAACAGCAACACTGTTAGCAACAGCACGCTGTTAATGTTCGACGCTTGATTTTCGACTCTCTTCTCTTTTTTCAACCTAACCAAACAGAAAAACAGAAGCATAAAAAAAGGCTTACTTACATTTAATTTTCGCCGTTTGTTTCTGGGTTATTTGATTTGCGGCTTCTGGCTTTGTTGTTCTTTTCGATAAAACTTATTCGATCCATTTTCGAAGTTGTTGTTGCTGCCACAGAAAAAACATGTTTCACTTTATTCCCTTTTTCTTTCCTTTTGTTGTTGTTGTTGTTGTCGGTGGAGAGGGACGTCGATATGTGACGCGCACACAAACACACGCACACAACACGTACACCCAGGCAGCGAGAGAGGCAAACAAAAATTTTTGCCGTTTTTCGTTACTTGTTGTTGTTGCTGCCGCTGCTCCTTATTTCCATGTTTTACATTTTGTACTCTAACTGAATAAACAAACTTTTCACAATGCGATTTTGACTGCTATTTCTTATTTTTTTATGTTAGCTCTCTTTGGTTTTTCTTCTTTCCGCCCGTCTGCCACAAAAAAGAGCGCGTCTCCACAGCAGTGTACAAAAAAAAAGGCACACACCAAGAGGAAAAAAAAACACACCCACACACTCACGCAGGTACGCGCATACACAGACACGGGTAAATCGGGAAAAATGCTTAAGTAAACGCGTTGATTTTCTGTTTTCCCGATCCAAGCAAGGCAATTTTAACCTTATTCTCTTTGGTTCACCAACTCGGCATTTTTCTTTTTTGGCGGCGGCGGCAGCGCGTGGTTTTTTTCACAGATCTTTGCAGCTCGACTCAATCGAAGAAAATCGGACGAAAACGGACGCGCAAAATACGTTTTCGTAACATTTCTCTGTTAGCTCGACGTTTTCTTTACATTTCCCTGTTAGAGATGTGGAAACATGTATGCTAACTCGATGTCATCGATGTTTTCCAAACATCGGTTTCATCGATGTTTTGCGGGGCAACATCGATGTTTTCCCATCTCTACTCTGCTTTCCCTCTGCCCAACAAAATAGTTAAAGGGAAACGATGATGGCGCCTTACCAGTGCAACTTATTTTAATTTAAGCGTTTATCTCGAAACGACATTTTTGAAAACAGCTGACTTCATAACTCGACTACAAGTAAACCGATGGGTTTCAAATTAAGACTTAATCACCTTAAATGGGTCCTACCAACAATGACCTACATAATTTTGCATTGGTTAAAAATTGTTCATTTTGCCAAATTTACAAAATAATAATATTAATAATTTTTTCACTTTGTTTTTCAAACCTAAGCTATTTTGTTGATATTTGTTAAATTTTAAAGATCGCAGGTCATTGTCGGGGAAATATATTTAGCTTTCATAATCTTTTTGAATTTTTCGTTTTCAGTCGCTCATTTTTTGTTGAGCCTCGGCAGACTACATTATTATGTGCTCTGTGTGTTCTGTGGTGGATACATTTCTGAAAAGTAAGTTGTATTAATGTAAACTGTATTTGTGCTTTAACTTGCGAGCATTTGTGCTAGAAGAGTTCAGAAGAATATTTGAAAGAGCCGGGATCAATAAGAAAACGAGGTGTTTTGACCACTTAAACAAAAAGCGACTTCTGAGCAACCTTTCTCGACGAAAACTGTTGTGGACAAGCTCTTGTTGTGAAGCAAGAACATATAAATAAATAGGTGTAATAGTTTTGTTATAACAAAGATCTTATTTCAAACATCGATGTTTGGCTTGGAAACTGGGCATTGACCCAGATGTATCGATGTTTTCAAAATATCGATGGACCACCGATTTTGCCAACGAAATGTTAAGAAACGTTTTTCCATAAAAACTGTTAAAATACTATGTTTTTCTAACAGAAATGTTAAAATGCATCGTTTTCCAATGGAAGTTAAAACGAAAACAATGTTTTCCCTTCGACACGACTGGTTGAGAACTTGAATAGGAATATACCGAAATGTTAAAATACTTAATGCTAACATCGCTGTTTGGCGGGTGTCACCGGTGTATCTAATCATTTGAACCTTGCACGAAAATATATCAGCCCAATTTTTGCACACTGTTAACGATTTCACTCTGTTTTTATGCACTCCAATTCTTCCGTACTTCAAAATCTGCAAGAAATATATGCTAATCTCAATGTCGAAATATATCAAATAAGTGTAAGCTAAGGCAATTTACCTAAAGAAACATCAAAGATATGTGAGTCTATAGTGGAGAAAATCATATGTTTAGCTCTTATAACAATAATTAGCTTTGCATGAGTTCCATTTATCCCGCTCTACCCAGATTTTCCTAAAAATAACTATTAGGACAACTTTGTTGCCGCCTTAAACTCGATAACATTTGAGCGTTTTCAATCGGCAGTTTAGCAATGACTCGAACCTCGCAGTTTTCCGATTTATTCGGACGGATAACATTTTAGCAAGTGTCGCACTTTTGGCGGGAATTCAAAATTAAATCAGCTTTTCAGACTTATCGATTTTGGGCTGTCTATCACTGTGGAGACTACTATAGTTCGATCTTATTAATTGATACAGCAATCAAAAGGTATAGCTTTTAAAAGAGTTTGTGCAGAATAAGAGTTTTCATAAGACTCATTGGTCATTTTTATATTCTGGCATTAATTACGCTTCCAATGACAAAGCAATCGAAAGGTATAGCTTTTATAAGATTTTGGCATTAATTACGCTTCCAAAGACACCTCGGTCATCTCCATCCTATACTCCGATCAAAAGATATTCAATAACCAAAGTTTGACAGCATTTTTTAAATTAAAATAATGAGCAACACTTTAAACTCTTATAAATTCGATAAGAATAACGCTTAATTAAATGAAAGTTATCGATAGACAGCGGCGCTGCCAGATCGACGACATATGCGGTCCGGCTTTCCATGCGATACTATCGAAAAACAAACATCGATCCGGGCTCCATCTCTAGTTTCCCATGCATTATTTTGCTTTTTAACTTTCCATTCCAAACATTACTTTCGTTCCGTGTCAGTTTTTGACTGATTTCTAAATTGAAAACCCCGCACCAAACCATTTGCTATCCAAATTCGCATTGTGTCCAGCCAACAGGGGGGAGTGCCACCACCACGGTAACGAGCGCAGGAGCCACAACAATCGGCCACTGAGTGTGTGTGTAACGTGACGAAATCAAAAGTCGGGGGAGATAGCGTAGTTTCAGTGGTGAGTTCGAGTTCGAGTTCGGGTTCTAGAGTGCCAGAGCATTGGCTACCAGTCACCAGTCACCAAACACCAGAAACCACATATACATAGTATTCAGTGGCCAGCGAGCAGTTCCGGCGAACAGACCGTGAGATGGCTCCGTAAACCCATCGCGAGGCATCGAAACATACTCACTCCGTGCTCTCCACTTTGTTTTGCAGATCCCGATCCTGATCCCGATCCAGAACCAGATCCACCGATCCCATACCCCACAGAGACCAGAGTCCAGCGATCATGTCCAGCGACGCCAATACGCCCGTGCTGCGCAACTGCATCCGCCTGCCGCTGCCGGAGGACGAGCTCCTGGAGGTGACGACCAAGGCCAAGGACTATGCCATCATGCACGGCGCCGCCATGCGATCGAAGACCGCCTTCAGCCCGGACTCCCTCAATGTGGGTCAATATAGAGTCGAGTCTCGCTAACAAAATCTTGAGTTTCCTACAGAGGAATCTCACGGTATTCAATCATTCGTCCATTGTGTTGATTTGATAGACCCAAGAGCTAGTTTCTTCACTCTTTTTTTTTTGTTTTTTATTTGTTGGTCACTGAAAAAGTGCAGTAAAACCTGTAACGAGAATCGGGTTTTTGTTTCTAATTCTTAAAATTTCCATACCGAATCAGAAGTAGTTTTTTTTATTAATTAACATAGAAACAAGTAAATATCTATGGTTTTCTGGACTTAAAAGCTATTGTTTAAAAAGAGTGCACTAAAGGGTTTTTTTCTTAACTTTTTCTGAAGTAGTTTGTATATGTATTTTTGATGGGTTTATTGTAAGCCTCTTTTGATATTTTATGTTTTGTCTAATAATTTTAATCTATCGTCTTGATTTTAGTGGTTTTTATTTATTTATGCACTTAGGTACATTTCTTTCAAACGAATAACTAAATACTTTCGAATTTGGTTAGTTATTCAGTTGTTAAATGTTAAAATCAGATTTTAACGGTTGGGTATTTTGAGTATTTTCTTTCTAAGAGATTTGTACCTTTTAAGTATTCAGGGTTTACATTTGGTTATAACCAAGTTTAGTTCGTAGCGTAGTTAGCTAAAGAAGTATGTAAAACATTTGGTCAAGATTCAAGCTAGAGTTTATCGACTGTGTTTGCAGACGAGTATACTAAACCAGATCTCTTGCAGTTCGCCCCCTTTGTGCTGGTGCCCTCCTCGTTTCCCCGCAAGGAGTTCGAGAAGGCGGTGGCCCTGCAGCCGATCATCAACCGGCTAATGCACAATGTGGCCCACGACGAGGAGTTCATCACCACGACGCTAGCGGAGACGATTAAAGTGGACGAGTTCACGGCCAATCTGTTCAACATCTACCGCAAGGTGCTGGCCCACGGATTCACCCAGGTGAGATTTCGTTAGCTGGCATCCATCCATCTGCTATCCTCCGCCCTGCACCATCAGTATCACCATCAGTATCATCATCAGTATCAGTATCAGTATCACCCAACGTATCCACCTCCATCCACATCGGGAGCACATCAAGAGGCAGCCAGTGGGTTTCTCGCTAGAATTTATTGGGCCCCTCTCTACACCCGCGGTCGCAATCTAATCGCCCATCCATAAATCGCCCGGCCATAGTCATAGCGAAAAGAAGTCGGTTGTAGGCGCTAATCTCGCGTGATTTATGCGAGCATCCTGGTCTCGCAGCTCCTTATCGTTGGTTCGCTCAGTTAGCCGCTTGTAAATCGATGTAGGACAGTCCATTCCTGACCCCAAAAACGCTAGCCATTTTGCCGTTGCTACTCCTTTTTTTAATTTACATTAATTTACCCTAACGAAACCAGCACAGTCATGAATTCTATTACCTTTTTCGTATCGTTAAGAACTTGATCTTTGCAATCATTTCGATTCATTTTATTTATAT